TTTCAGGACCCCTGCACTTTCATCATTACAGATTCTTGCCATTTCTACACTTGCAATTTGTATTTCAAGTAATCACTGTCTATGGATGTGTATGCATGTGTGCATGAACGTGTGTGCGCGCGCGCGCAAGAAAGAGAGAGAGAGAGCAAGCTTACTTTGTTCAGATATGCAGTATCATCTCCCAGGTTTAAGTCAACTGCCACATGCAGACAACAGCAACCAAGGAGACACAACCCACATCTCTGGTTGTTTTCAGGACCCCTGCACTTTCATCATTACAGATTCTTGCCATTCTTACACTAACAATTTGTATTTTAACCCACTGACAAACAGCGTTGCACATTATGTGATGCGGTGACGTATACTTTATGCTGCCAGGTCGCACCTCTTGCGATTTTAGGTTTGGACGCTAGCCGTCATGTTAAAATCGCGATTTCTATGATGAATTTAGTTAAAACCTCTAGCTTATTCACTTCTGTATGGTTAATTATGGGAAATAACTTTGTAGTGCTTAAAGTAGATAGTTGACGAATATTTTTAGTTAGCTCCCAGAGACATTGACAAAAAATTCATCATGGCGTCAAATTATCGGAACCATCGTGGTAGTCATATTTCTCCTTATTTTTCTAATGATGCATGCAGTTTTCTTGATTTTGCTTCAAAAAGTGAATTTGAAGACACTTCTGAACAGTTTGATGGTTATAACTATAATAAATTAAACGAAGTGCCATTCAAAACATCGTCAACTGTAAAATCACAGCATGACGCTTCGAATCGAGTCTGACAAAGACAGTGTTGTCGGCGGCAAGCACTAGTGCGGCAGTTTATGATGCTGATAGTTCTTGTGAGAGTATTCAGTCAAAGCCCACAGATTATAAAGATTTTGTGCCTGAGCCTGCACATGACGAAGATATCATTGCCGCTTTTGATTCAGAATCATCATCATCTGACGAGACCGGGGAAGATTTGCCACGCCCCCCCCCCCCCCCCCCCACTGGTTGATGACTGGCATTGTGATTTGGAAAGCTTCCCTGGAGTACCCCTATTTACTGGCACTTCTGGGCTATTTCTGCCAGAAGGAAAAAATAAACCACTGGATATTTTCTCCAGTAAAGAAATTCTTGCTGTGTTTGCTAAAGAAACAAACTGTTATGCCGAGACAAAGATTAGTGCGAAACCAGACACCTGTTGTGCCAAGAACGGGAAACACACAATCCCAAATGAAGTGACAGGGTTTCTTGTACTGTTGCGTCACGTGTGTTGTGAAAAAGCCGTCTATTTCAGACTACCCGAGTATTTATCCATTTATTCACTCATCATTTGCTGCCACCATCATGACACAGGTGCGTTTTCTATATATTGCTGTCAGATAACGGATTTTTCTGTTACCTTTTTTTGCACCATATCTACAGCCACATGATGATGACATAAAACAGTAAATCTACATTTGTCTTGATATTTGTTATCTCTCGTGCCAAACAATATCAGATAGGATGAGTGATCTTGAACAGTTGTGAAGCTGTGACATTTTTTGGGGGTCTGAATTATTGTCAGATAAAAGGATTTTTCAGTTGCATTTTTTGCAACAATCTACAGCCACATGATGATGATGATTATGTAAGACAAAGTAAACCCCATTTTTTAATCAATTTTGTGTAAACATACAAAATGTAAAATATGTTTGTTGAATATTTAAAAAAAAAAAACCACTACTATCAGTTTTTATTGTTGTCAGATAAAAGATTTTTAGTTGCCATTTTTTGCCACAATCTACATACAGCCATAAGATGATGATGGCTATGTCAAAGTAAACCTCATTTTTTTCCCTTTAAATGTGTTCTGGGTTTAATTTTGTGCAAAAATACAAAATATTTTAATTTTTGTTGAATATTTTTTTAAGATAAGACATTTTTATTAGTCTTTGTTATTTTAGTCTTTAGTCAAATAAAAGATTTTTCGGTTGCCTTTTTTGCACCAATCTACAGCCACATGATGATGATGCAAAACAAAATAACTTTTTTTTCTTCAAATTTGTTCTTTATTCGATTTGGTGCAAAAAGTACAATATATTGTGAGATTATATCAAATAGTTGTAATGCTATGGCATTTTTAGTAAACACTAAAATACGTGGTATTTGGGGGAAATGCAAGGGTTAATGGGCTTGGTAGTCAGTGGGTTAAGTAATCACTGTCTATGGATTTGTATGCATGTGTGCATGAACATGTGTGTGTGTGTGCGCGCTCGCGCAAGAAAGAGAGAGCGAGCTTACTTTTTTAAGTCAACTGCCACATGCAGACAACAGCAACCAAGGAGACACAACCCACATCTCTGGTTGTTTTCAGGACCCCTGCACTTTCATCATTACAGATTCTTGCCATTCTTACACTAACAATTTGTATTTTAACCCACTGACTACCAGCGTTGCACATTATGCGATGCGGTGACGTATACTTTATGCTGCCAAGTCACACCTCTTGCGATTTTAGGTTTGGACGCTAGCCGTCATGTTAAAATCGCGATTTCTACGATGAATTTAGTTAAAACCTCTAGCTTATTCACTTCTGTTTGGTTAATTAAGGAAAATAACTTTGCAGTGCTTAAAGTAGATAGTTGACGAATATTTTTAGTTAGCTCCCAGAGACATTGACAAAAAATTCATCATGGCGTCAAATTATCGGAACCATCGTGGTGGTCATATTTCTCCTTATTTTTCTAATGATGCATGCGGTTTTCTTGATTTTGCTTCAAAAAGTGAATTTGAAGACACTTCTGAACAGTTTGATGGTTATAACTATAATAAATTTAACGAAGTGCCATTCAAAACATCGTCAACTGTGAAATGACAGCATGACGCTTCGAATCGAGTCTGACAAAGACAGTGTTGTCGGCGGCAAGCACTAGTGCGGCAGTTTATGATGCTGATAGTTCTTGTGAGAGTATTCAGTCAAAGCCCACAGATTATAAAGATTTTGTGCCTGAGCCTGCACATGACGAAGATATCATTGCCGCTTTTGATTCAGAATCATCATCATCTGACGAGACCGGGGAAGATTTGCCACGCCCCCCCCCCCCCCCCCCACTGGTTGATGACTGGCATTGTGATTTGGAAGGCTTCCCTGGAGTACCCCTATTTACTGGCACTTCTGGGCTATTTCTGCCAGAAGGAAAAAATAAACCACTGGATATTTTCTTCAGTAAAGAAATTCTTGCTGTGTTTGCTAAAGAAACAAACTGTTATGCCGAGACAAAGATTAGTGCGAAACCAGACAACTGTTGTGCCAAGAACGGGAAACACACAACCCCAAATGAAGTGACAGGGTTTCTTGTACTGTTGCGTCACGTGTGTTGTGAAAAAGCCGTCTATTTCAGACTACCCGAGTATATATCCATTTATTCACTCATCATTTGCTGCCACCATCATGTCACAGGTGTGTTTTCTATATATTGCTGTCAGATAATGGATTTTTCTGTTACCTTTTTTTGCACCATATCTACAGCCACATGATGATGACATAAAACAGTAAATCTATATTTGTCTTGATATTTGTTATCTCTCGTGCCAAACAATATCAGATAGGATAAGTGATCTTGAACAGTTGTGAAGCTGTGACATTTTTTGGGGGTCTGAATTATTGTCAGATAAAATGATTTTTCAGTTGCCTTTTTTGCAACAATCTACAGCCACATGATGATGATGATTATGTAAGACAAAGTAATCCCCATTTTTTGGTCAATTTTGTGTAAAAATACAAAATGTAAAATATGTTTGTTGAATATTTAAAAAAAAAAAACCCACTGCTATCAGTTTTTATTGTCAGATAAAAGATTTTTAGTTGCCATTTTTTGCCACAATCTATAGCCATATGATGATGATGGCTATGTCAAAGTAAACCTCATTTTTTTCCCTTTAAATGTGTTCTGGGTTTAATTTTGTGCAAAAATACAAAATATTTTAATTTTTGTTGAATATTTTTTGAAGATAAAACATTTTTATTTGTCTTTGTTATTTTAGTCTTTAGTCAAATAAAAGATTTTTCTGTTGCCTTTTTTGCACCAATCTACAGCCACATGATGATGATGCAAAACAAAATAACTTTTTTTTCTTGAAATTTGTTCTTTATTCGATTTGGTGCAAAAAGTACAATATATTGTGAGATTATATCAAATAGTTGTAATGCTATGGCATTTTTAGTAAACACTAAAATATGTGGTATTTGGGGGAAATGCAAGGGTTAATGGTCTTGGTAGTCAGTGGGTTAAGTAATCACTGTCTATGGATGTGTATGCATGTGTGCATGAACATGTGTGTGTTTGTGAGCGCGCGCAAGAAAGAGAGAAAGAGAGAGAGCGAGCTTACTTTGTTCAGATATGCAGTATCATCCCCCAGGTTTAAGTCAACTGCCACATGCAGACAACAGCAACCAAGGAGACACAACCCACATCTCTGGTTGTTTTCAGGACCCCTGCACTTTCATCATTACAGATTCTTGCCATTCTTACACTAACAATTTGTATTTTGAAGTAATCACTGTCTATGGACGTCTATGTGCACGAAGTCAGAGTGCCCTGCCTGATGAGAGGTGGGGAATTAACAGTCTGGGTACACAAAAGTCAGATATATAAATTGGATGTGCACACACACACACACAGAACACTTGAGTTCTGGAAAAAAAGACCAAAGTCCACAAACGGATAAATAACCAGAACATTCCGCAAGATTTTCAAAGCCGGTGAATGCTAAAAGAAGTGTTTTCACATGAATCCTACACAATTCAGTGTTCAGTTTTTATGGGGGTTTTATTCTGCAGTGGTTTAGAAAAGGGCCAATCTAATGCAATGGAACAAGAGCCACATCACAGAAGAGATTAAGGTATCACCTCGTAATACTTCCAAAGTCAGCAGTGGATACATTGCAGCCAAGATCCTTTGTGGAGATAATAAAACAAAAGAACACAACCTAACCCAGGAGACTGGCCAGAGTTTAACCTGATCTAAATACCTGACTATTCCTCCGGCCTTCTGTATCCTCATTCTCTCCTCATACACAGATGGGCTGTGATCATTTGTGAGAGGAATGCCAACATATGTTTCATTTTCCCTGTGGCGACATAAAATTGCCTGAAACCAGAATATGTATATAAGAAATTATAGACACAAATACAAGATTTAAACAATATGGAAACAGGCAAAAAATCTGCACAATTAATTGCCTGGCATATTTTGCTTTATGGGTAATAAAATCAGAAAACTACATACAGCTATAAGAAAGACCAGTCAGTGATCTTTGGCCCCGTAATAAAAAGAAAGACTTTGCAGAACAATGATGACTAGTGAGATCAACAGTAGAAGAGGCAGAGGTAGACTAAGAGAAATGATGCTCAATGGCCTCAGGCGATGGCATGAAGGAATATCTTCAGTGGAACTGATTCAAAATACCAAGGACCTAGATGTGCAGAGAGACAGGAGCACCAACACCACTTGACTAGGCACAGGATGCTGATATTTCATTGTATTTTGTCAGGTGCATTACAAAGGTTATAGTGCAAGGTGTTAATGACAGACTTGCAGTCTACATCGGCAGTGAAGAGTTGGAGACAGCAGACCATATTACTTATTTGGGATCCACAGTAAATAAACTATCGCTGAAAAAAAAGAAATCAACATCAGGATAGGTAATGGAGCAACAACAATGCTCACATTAACAAAAAGAAAGAACAGAAAGCACATGATTATAACAAAAACTCTTTGTCTATCAGGTTTGTGTTTTCAGCACTCTGCTTTATGGCAGTGAAACTTGGTCAACTTATTCACACCAGGAGAAACTGCTAAATAGCTTTCACATGTGGTGCCTAAGAAAAATACAAGATCACAAACACTGAGGTGTTAGAAAGAGCAGGTATTACAAAAGTTTTCTCAATGCTCAGTCTATGAAGACTCAGGTGGCTGGGTCATACCCTGCCAAAGATCCAGCCATTTCCACCATAAACCGCTATATTCCCATGACAAACATCTATTGCTTTTACTGAATGGGCTGTTCCTTTGTGGAACCACCTGTCTACTATATAATTCATCTAATTCTTTTAAATAAAAAATTAAAGATTTATAATGCAGATGCAGCACACACTGACCCCCTACCCTCCACTGCTGTTACTGGCATCTTTCCAGACAAGTGTTACATTATTCTATAAGGAGGCATGGGACTCACAGCCCATGAGATTATTCACCGTCCTTTTCAGGATAAAATTTTTTCGTTATTTGAAGCCCCACCCTGGCTCTTGCCGAGGGCAATATGGCCTAATGGCTGAACGCGGTTTCTGGCACCTCTCCACAGTGATCCTCGTCCACACGGTGGCACATTACGTCATTGGGTGTTTATCGCTTGTGTGATGTCCTGGTGGGGTAGAAAGTCAGTTAATCACAGCCCATGGGAAGTATGACTAGTATGACTGTTGTTGCCATTACATATATGTAGTGTGCTTCTTCCCACATGCAACTTTCATCCTTTCTGCCATCATGTTTTCCTTCACTCTCATTCTAGTCCTGATTTGCTCTCTCCAGGCAACAAGATCCACAGCATTTCAAATTAAGCTATTACATGGCATTTCATCCAGTTACTACTTCTACAGAATAAGCTATTCTAACCTCAACTATTTAGTACTGTGGGAATAATTAACAAATGGATTTTGACAAAAATGAAAGCAAAATTTACCCTGTGGGTTCCAGGGCCCTATTATAGTGAAAACAAGAGTAGACCCACTGCCTACCCAAAAGCATGTTGTAAGAGTTGACTAACTGGGAGCTTCCTTTGAAGTTGGAGTGCATCTGCCTGAAAGGCAAGGAACCAGCAGTCTGCATACAAATGAGTGAGATCTGTAAAATGGATGCACAAGCAACACTCAGGTTCTGGTACAGGACTGCAGTCCGAAAGTAGATGAACAACCAGAACTTTCCGCTAGAGTTTACAGCTGGTGAACATAAAGAAAAAAAAGAAGAGGAAGAAAGCAAAATTTACCTTACTGTCCCCTAAATTGGCTATATACAAGGTGTCGTTAATAGCAAGGACAACAACAGCCGTGGTACCATCTTTCCACGAGGGTTTGCTAAAAGGAAAAGACAAAATAAAGTCAAGTATTCCACCACAAAAATGAGTAATGGTCTTGAAAGTGAAAACTCATTCATTTAGGGATTTATAAACCAATGACATCTAGATAAACACATATGTATACATGTATGTGTGCATGTATATACATATGTAGTCAAGTTTGTTTGTGTATAAGTATGCATTCATGTATTTGTCATACAAAAGCATGTAACCTGTACATGAACTCAGACAGCATTATACATGAAATTTAATTTCTATGTGAAAGATGAGCCGGGCTTAGGGGTGGAATGTTAGATGGGACTGAGTGCCCAATTTGTGACTCATTCATGTATTTGTCATAAATAAGCATGTAACCTGTAAATGAATTCAGCATGCATCACACATGAAATTTCATTTCTATGTGAAAGATGTGTGGCTGCAAGGGCAGAATGTTGGATGGGGCTGAGTGCCCAATGTGTGACTCTCTGAAAATGAAGCTCTTTCTTCATTCATAAACAATCCTTGCTAACACAAAAAAAGACTTGTTGCTGGTTGTGTTCTTGATGTTGATGGGTTTACAGCTAGGCAGTGAAATCTGCACCTTTCAACCCAACAATTCCAATTTCAGCAAACTCTTTTTTTTTAAATCATCCTCTTGTGCCGTATGTAACATACGACTTGAAGGATAGTCCTCCATTCCATTCTATCCAGTGCCATCCTCTTGAAACTATAGACGGAATCCAGTCCAGCACCTTTGGCCTCTCTGAACCACATTCATCTTACGGTTGCTCTTCGACATCCTCGTTTCCTCAGTCTATTAGTTTACCAGTCCAGTACCTGTTTGGTGTTGATTCTTTGTCCCTGTCTCCTCATATGTCCAACATACTGCCATCTTAGTTGTCTTATAACTGATGATACGAGCGATAGTCCAGACATTTCATTATTTCTACACCTTTCTTGAATTCATCAATTTCCCTTAGTATTTGTTTCCTATTGTGCAAGTTTCTAAAGCATGACTTCTTTTTTTTTTTTTAAATACAAGGTGAGGAAGCTGGCTCCATGCCCAACGCTCCCTAGGGTTAGGACCCGCAATGTCGGAGACAAACCCTTAGGCAGTCACCCTGTGTTACATGCTTATTACTGAGTATATTCCTTCATCCCCACCCCTTAAATGGGTCATTGAAAGCGCACAGGGAAAACAAATATGTGTCTAAAGATTGGAATGCGGGAGATGACAAATATGTTCTGAAATTTTGGAACGCACCGGTGTCTACTCTTTTTTTTTTAAATTCACCTGCTGTAAACTCTGGTGGAAAGTTCTGGTTTTTCGTCCACCTCAGGACTGTAGTCTTGTTCCAGAACCTGAATGTCACATATACATTTGTTTAACAGATCTGAATGATTTGTATGCAGACTACTGGTTCTGTGCCTCACAGGCAAATCACTCTGACTTCTAAGGAAGCCCCTAAGTAGTCAACTCCTACGACATGCTTTTGGGTAGGCAGCGAGTCTATTCTTGTTTTCCCCACAATGGGAAACACACTGGTGTGAAACTATTATAAAACTGTCTGAAGTATATTTTGTTGAGGCAGAAAGTCCAGTAGTCTGAAAAACTAAACAAGTAAATCAAATTTAAAATACATTACTTAAAAAGCCCATAGGGGTGGTTAAGGATAAGATGGAAATAGAACTAGGTCATGGTCAATGAATGCTACTGCACACATACAGTTTGCACCAGATCCAACATTCTTACCTCCAATGCCTGTTGTGAAGAAATGTAACAATTTTAAAGAAGAATAGGTTTTAATTTCTTAAAAGAGAAATTAAGATACACTAAGCCTAAGCTTTTACTTATGACCATCCTCATTCATCACCACAATCAATAAATACATACAAAAATAACTTATCTTAGGACTAGTTCACCTTATGACCTATTAGTTGACATGGAAGTCGAGGAGCGACTGTAAAATACTCTAGTTCCATTCACTCAGCGAGCTACTGAAAATCATTCCCGGGGCCGCAGGTTGCTGATGCTTGTGTTAGACCATTATATATTGTAGCCTGTTCCACCTCAGACAATTCTACAAATTATCAAGTACTCATTTTATCAGGCTCAGCGCTATGAATAATAAGGACTGTCCATGCCAGTTCGCAACGTATTTCATTATATAATAAAGATCGGGCAAGAAAATAAATCACAGGTTTACTTAATCTGAATCTGGCATAAGCAGCCCTGTCATGCCTATCACGGTTGCCTATTTTGAATTTGAGAAAGTAAGAAAGAAAAGGGCTAGTTTGTCCACTTAGAGAAACTGCCTTGTGATGCCATACCATACAAAGCATACATCGAAAGATGAGATCGAAACAGAGCAAAAGGCAGGCCATGAACAAGACAGAAAGGCATCAGAGAAACTCTACAACAGCATGATTTACATACAGCTGAGGTGACCAGAAGAGCAAAAAGTAGAACGTTATATTTCTCTCTCAACAATAAACGTGGTATAAGAGGATGTAAAGGAGGATAGTACCACAGAATCCCTTTGGGGAAATTTCACATTCAATAGTTTGCCAGTGTCAACTGCATGGTGGACACTCATACCTTTGTGAAAACCAATACAGTGTGGTCAAATATCTTTCCGCTGAATCTAACCCTTAACTCATGGTTGGAGCTATGGAGTATGGAGTTTGTGCTCTGTGTTACTGACTTCTACATCATGGCACACCGTGCATACTCACAGATGCTCTGTCTCCCACAGCAATTGTCTTATGGTGATGATGCTAACTGTTCCCACAGCACTGATTATGGACCTGCTGTTCTCTTTCTCCTATACATCCCTCCATGTCGGATCCACACCTCATTTGCACATTCTCACATGTTACTTTTTCTAACCTTTTATCAGCATTTGTTCATAAATGGTCTTACGAATGCCTTGTTCAGTATGAGTTTTCCTGCAGCTTTTGCTTTTTTTAACCAGAAAATCTTCTTTTTCATCCCCTCACATACCTGCATATCCAAGTAAATCCTTGATGCTTGGTATCCACTCATGCCACATATGTCCATTTCTAACCTTTCGCAATACCGAGAATCAGACACTACAATTTCTTTGGTAACTATTTTCTGCTATCCACTTCAGAGCTGCAGTGACTGCCTCCAACTACATCCTGATGCTTTGTGCATTAGGTCTTACTTGATAAATTTACTTTCTTTGCTCTTCAATGCCCAGATTGTCCAAATAGTTATATTATTATTAAGACTACAATTTCTATTTACTAAGTAGCTAATATTTTAAGTAACAATACATTACTTTCTGGCTGCTTCTTTCAAAAAGTCCTCATCTGTTTTCTTAAAGGCTTCAATGAACACTTTCTTGATTTCTTTCTCCACTTGGGCGATATTACCTGAGGAAAAAAAGGGTAGCAGACAGGCAGAAATTAGACTGATTTGAGAAATAAATAAGAAGAAATTTATATCAATTTGAGAAGAAAGAAAGGAGGAGGAAGACCAATTTGTAAAGAAAGTAAGAAGAAAAGACCAATGAGAAGAAAAGCAAGATGAAATTAGACCTATTTGAGAAGAAAGCAAAAAGAAGGAAAGACCAATGTAAGAAAGAAAAAAAAGTAGAAATTACATCAATTTAAGAAGAAAGCAAGAATAAAAGGCAGGTTTCATACTAAACTGACAATAAAGCAAGGAAAAGTAGACAGGAATTAGATTAATTTGAGAAATAATTAACAAGAGGGCAGAAATTATAAAATTACAAGAACAATGCAGGAAGTAATTAGACAGACATAAAAAAAAAACATTTGGGAAGTGAGACAAAGTTATCTGATCTGAAGACAAAAGTAAGGTATAGGCAGATATATGAGTAAAATGGAAAAGCAAAGAAAAAGTAACGATTCTCATGTGGAATAGACCCACCCTCTCCAACAAGCATGTCGTCGGAGTCAACTAGCTGGGGGCTTCCTTCAAAGTCAGAGTATGCCTGAAAGGTAAGGAACAAACAGTCTGCAAACAAATAAGCCAGATACGTGAAATGTGCCAATAACACTCAGGTTCTTGAACAAGTCCAAAGGTGGAGGAATACCCAGAACTTTATGCCGCAGTTTACTACCAGTGAACATAAAGAAGAAGAAAAAGTAGTGAGATATTTTAAAACAAAAATGGAATTTCTTCTTTCTCAGCAGTCAGTTGTCCATTCTGGCATATGTCATAGACATAATGGTGTGCTTCAGTTCTTCATGGGTGCACTACATTTTTATTACAACTACATCAAGACACAACAGATTAAATGGTTAAGAGATGTATCAAGACGTATCACCATACAGTGCACCATAGAAGATCTCTCGCAGACAAAATGGAATCAGACTAGAGGTCGACCAAACATGCTATGGATAGATGCAATATTTGAGGTAGTAAATACCAGCACCCATGTAGCACCAAAGCATATCTCAACATTCTATAATCTCATGTTCCTCATATGGGTTAGGAGCCCCACTGTGGAGAAAACAAGAATAGCCCCACTGCCTTCCCAAAAAGCATATTGTTGAAGTAAACTAACTAGGCGATTCCTTTGAAGTCAGAGTGCATCTGTCTAAGCGGCAAGGAATAAACAGCCAGTGAACGAAGAAGAAGTATAATCCCATGCCACATCATCCAGATTTAACAGCTGAGGTCTATTTGCTACAAAATTCTCCTCCTATAGGCAGACTGGCTTTCTAGGCTTACAAGCTTTGCCTGTTCACATTTTCTGACAGGCTTTTTTAGCTTTTGTTCCTACCAAAACTTCTACAAGGCAGTGATGGTATGGCATTATGTGTGTTCCTAGCTTCGCAGGAACTATCTTTCAAGTTTTATGAGATTTATCAAACCGTGTAATTTCGTTCATTCATTTACTCAGTGTGGATTCTGAAGAACAGACCCACTGCCGCGCTAATAATCAAATCACAAAGACAAATAATAAGGGGTTTACTTGTTGGGCCAATGGTGCAGATACCACAGCCTAGATGTAAACCACAACATAAAGTGCCAGCTGACATTTTCAATGTGAATCTAGAAAAATTAGTTTATTTTAGCCAGCCTAGCTGCAAACCACAACGCAAGGTGCCAACTGCCATTTTAAAGGTGAATCCAGATTTTTTTTTTTAGCTAGTTAGGCCAAGAATTAAGTGACAATAGAAAATATATGGACTAGAAAGCCAAATGAGAGAAACTGTGATCCTGTGCGAAGCTGAATGCTTACTGGCACAATTACATACTGAGTGATTTACTGAGTTTAATCTAAAAAAGAGGCAGAGAAATATGCACAAAGACACAACCAAATGTTTTGACCAAGGCCCTTTTCAACAGATTTTTAAAAAACTTACAAGAAACAATACACAAAAGGAAAATAATCCATTTAGGGAAGTCTTCTTCTTCCTAACGTTCACCAGCTGTGAACTGGTTGTTTGTCCACTTTCCATAACCTGAGTTATGTGTTCACATCCATTACACAGATTTGGCTTACTTGTATGCTGACTGTTGGTTCCTCGCCTCCCAAGCTGATGCATTTTGACTTCAAGGGAAAAATTTAATTAGTTGCCTTTTACAGTATGCTTGTAAGGGTAGCGGGCAGTGTGTCAAATTCTCCCCCTCCCTCCTCCAAACGGGGGTCCAGAATCTACACAGGGAAGTTGTTACTTACATAACATCTAACCAAAGGTAAGTCCAAATATTGTTAGATCTGTAACAGCAACTTCTTCAGCATTCCAAGCTCTTGTGGCTTATTGCTGCAGATATCACCCACCTCCATTCATCTGCGATTGGCTTTATTTTTCTAGTTGGTGACTCTAGGTGTCTATATGGCAGCCTGTAAATTATCTCTCCACACACTACTGAGTCTAATCTCCTACAACTCTATCGTGTTCAGTTCCTGTCTCTCTACAATCTGCCTCTCTCTCTCTCTGATGCCCCAGCTATTTCAGTCAATAAGCCTCCCTAATGCCAGCAATTAATGATGATTTAAACGTTGCTTCTTACTTTCCATTCCCCGCTGTTTGCATCTGTGACAGCAACAATAAATAACCCATAAATAATAAAATTCTCCATGTATGAAACCAAACCACACATAAATTTCTTTTTTTTTTTGAGCAATCTAATATTTTGTGTTCAGTTTAAAGGAGGTTTGCATCATTAATTACCCTTGGGAAATTTATCACGCAGATTATTGTGCAAATGTTGTGATGCAAACCTGGAAGCTCTCGACCCTCCATGTCCATCGAAGACTGCATACAGGGCTAGACGATGTCTGGAAAAACATGGGTAATTGTAGTTAGTTCCCCTTTAAGTGAGTGGATCTTAAATATGCTAGCAAAAATATCATTATCAATCTGCAGGTCCTTTACAGAACCTCCCCTTCATCACTGCATGCCTGAAAGTCTTTCTTTCGCCAGCCAATTTTCCCACCTCTATGCACTTTCATAGTCAATGAATCTGCAATGTCTTGTATCCACCTTCGTGGAGGTTGGTCTCTATGTCTCATTTTCATAAACTTACCCTCCATCAGCGCTCTCTTCAGGCCACCATGATAAAAATACTGCGGCTTTTGGGATAGGATGCTGTTTATGAGCCTATTCTCCTCGATGCTCAGCATTTTCTTTTTGGTCCATCGTATTCTCAGAAATTTTCTGTAGCATCTCAGTTCAAACAAAAGCTCTGATTATTTCGTCAATCACTGACAGGTGACCACGGCTGGTATCCATAAATATATAGTTAACAATAGGAAGCAGTAGTAATTATCAATGCTAGAGGGATAGTCCTCTTCTGTACAGTCAAACTGTGATTCAACCCACCAAGAGACAAAATTTTTTGAAGAAGAAAAAAAATATTGTATCCAAGACAGGTATCGGATACCCAGACCAAAGTTTTTCCCCAAGACATTATCATCACCTCTGAAGAGTGTCATCACCTCTGAAGAGTGAGTCAGAGTATATGAGACCTCTTCTGCCTTCTATCCCCCAGTGCAGCTTAGGACCTCAAACAATCATGACAAGTCATTCTATCCTTCACTACTGCATGCAGCTCACCCCCATCTTTTTAACTTCACCCTCTAGCTCCTTCATGTGATTTTGGTTTGTCTTTATTTCTATCCTCCTGTGGGTTCCATTGCAGAGACATTTTAGTTATTTTAGTTAAACTGTTCTTAGGTTTTCTCAACATGTGTCATATCCAATGCCAGCATCTACTCACACCAAATTTTTTTCTCAAGATATCATCAACTTTCAAGTCAGGGACTACATTACATTCAGACAAAGGATAGAGACGTCAGACTTAACATATAAGATGTATGCTTGCAACTTGGCGGCACCTGAACTGACAGTGTATGCTGCTAACAGAGAAATCATTTGGCTTGTTCAAGACAAGACAAAGCTGTATGGTAAACAGGAAAATCTGGACGATGGCCTTCAGCAAGGCAACTGGCCTAAGTTGTCTGATAGAAGGGTCGAAGGAGAATTCTTTTTTTCCCACAGGGTAGTAGGTTACAGCTAGGCTGCAATATCTGCAGTTTTTGCTCAACACATTCGAGTTCAGTTCACCTCCAATTAGTTGCTTCTAACAATGTGCTTTTACTGGGGAGGCAGTGTTTATTATTCGTTTAACCCAAAATGGGGCCTAGGAATCTACACAGAGATCATAAATATACAAACACAGCTAACAATAGGAGGCAGGAAGCCTTAACTTTGGAGGAATGGTCTTCTTTTAATGGGTTCATCTTTTGGAGCAGGTACATATATAGTGCTGTGGTTTACAGCCAAGCTGCAACATCTGCACCTTTCAACACACCACCTCTAATTTCAGCAAAACTCTATTTAGTTGCCTGTCATGATGTGCTTATTAGAGAGGCAATGGGTTTATATTTTCTTTTTGTTCACCTAAAAGGTGGCCCCAGAGGAATAATCAAGGCCATGGACATATATCACTCTGCAGATGCAAATCTGCAGGAGTGTTCTTAAACACCCCGCTTGCCTCTAATCATGGAGACAGGAATCAGAGCTCTGCATTTCAGTTTAGATTACCTAAATGCTGCTGTATTAGATCTAAGAATTAAAACTCAGTCTTTCAGATGATTAGTGGTAAGTGAGGACTATCATCACAGCACCCCAGACATATCCATAGGTGCTCTGATCTCACCAAGAGTAAAACGACGGATCCTGCCCGTTCTGTGTTGATTAAAGAGGCCTTGTGCCTTTGGTGATATGTTGATATCTGGCTACGCCATTCTGCACACCCATGTACCCCAACTCGGACAATAATACTGAGCCCTGCTTGTTGTCGTGGTCTTCTCTGCAACTAACTTTTATTAATGAATTCATTCTTCTCCAGTGCCGGGCCAGTTGTGATAAACGCCTTGACTGCTTATTGCCTTGAACATCTACATAGCCCGGCACAAAGTTAGGCGAGTTATTTTCTAATGCATTGAATGAGAGAACCCGTTCAAATCTGATAAAGCCGGCCTAGATTTTCTTAAGCATATTCATTGAATCGCTCAGTATGTACGCATGTGTGAATTCTTGAGTACTTAGCCATATCGATGCCCTTGTCTCCATTGTGAGGTTGCTGGTTCAGATTACTACTACCAGCCAACCAAATATTATGAGTGTGTGAGCATAGATTGTACCAACTTACACAGTGAGTACAGAAGAAGAACAGAGAAGATCCTTACATCTTTTCCTAAGAGGATGACGAACAGGAAGACAAGACAAGAAAAGAGGAGAAAAAGTAGTAGTAGAGGAGGAGGAAGAAGAAATTGTTAGATTCCTGTCAAACTTGAAACTTACACTGATTCATGCAGACCAGGGACAAAAGGTAGAAAATCATCAATGATGACATGAGCATCCTGCATGTCTTCTCTCTCCCCCTGACGATCTGCTACATAGCCCTTCAATGTGTATGCTTCAAACAGAGAATAATAAACAGTTGGGCAATTGGCGCAACAAATACAGAAAAATAGTAATTCTATAGAGAATTCTATCACCATGAGAAGACTAAATATAATAACTTCCAGTAATAACTGTCTGTTTTACGATCTTTGAGGCAGTGAGGACGAATAGGGGAGGGGGGGGGGTGAGCCTGAGGATTTAGGGCATCAGGACTAGTGCTGTTGCCACAGACTGTGTAGGTTAGGATGTTTAACCCCCCCCCACGATAGCTCAAGCTCCGGAGGCTTGGTTGCTTCAGTGATGATTCTGAGACCAGTGTTCTGTATTTTATCCAGTTTGTGCAGGTTTGCTTTGGCTGCAGTGAAGTATGCTCCCATGCCATATTCGTTTTGGTCGTACGTATCCTGTGTATACTTGTTGTAGTGTTGGCATCTGGGCCCCAGCTTGTTCCAGTAAGTTTCTTCATAAGTCTGAGCCGCAGGGTAGCTTTCCTTTGGATGTCTTCAATGAGGGGGCCCCAAGTTAGCCTTTTGTCAAATTTTACTCCCAAATATGTGAGGTTATCCTCTTTTGGAAGGATGTTTTCTTATATGTACAGACCAACTTGTTCTAGTTTTTTTGGAAAGAGATATGAGAGTGGAGATGGTTTTGGTCTGGTTTATTGTGACTCCCTAAGAGTCTGTACATTTTTAACTGTATTTATAGCTTCCTGCATTCTTGTTTTTAGTTGTTTCTGTATGTTCAGCTTGGGTCCATATGGCCAGGTCATCTGCGTGTGCCTCGTGAATGTGAGTCGTGAACTGTTTTGGGAGGTCACTGATTAAAAGAATAAACAGGGTAGGAGATATAACACCTTCCTGGGGGACATCTTCTTGTAACCTGACCAGCTTACTCTTCCAGTCTAACTCTCGCGCAGCGTTTTTAAAGAAAAGCTCTAATCCAGGCAAACATGTGCCCTTTTACCCCACTGTGTGCTAGTTTAAGCAAGTCCTTTCTCTCAGACCTTATCAAAGGCTTTGTCAGGTTAAAGAAAGTAGCTGGCAGTTTGTATTTTTTTCTGGAAAGCTTCTTTAATTTCCTGTGCGAGATAAAAGGTTTAGTCATCAGTGCTTCTGTATTTCCTGAAGCCTGATATCAAATATCTTGTTTTCTTCTAGGAAATTAAGTAACCTCTTGTTCACTAATCTTTGCATGGTCTTTTCAAGGCAGCTTAGGGGGCGGTAACTGAATTTGTTTTCCTTGGGCTTTCCTTTCTTGGCTATGGGGACTATTTCTACCTACTTCCATTCCTTTGGAAGTAGTCCCTGGGTCCAGGATTGATTGATAAAGTCTACGAGTCGTTGCCTATCAGTTGGTCCCAAGTGTACTATGATTTCATTTGTTATTCGATCAGGTCCAAGTGTCTTCCTTTTCTTAAGGTTTCGTAATGCACATTAAAGTTCTTGGGGGCTGAAGAATTTATTCAATATACCCTTTATATATTTCAAAACACAAATGTACATAAATAAACGTTTTGGAAATTCCAATCGGGCACAACCAATTTTTTTTTTTTTTTTTTTTTAGCATTTGCCGGGTGAAAAGGTTGAATACATGATTGTGTATGGAAGGTTGGTACAGAAAAACGCTTAAACCACTTTAGACAGAAGGTTTAAATCCTGTGTGGGTTCCAGAACCTTAGTTAGTAAAAAAAATAAGAACAGATCCACTGACCTTCAAAAAGCATGTCATATAACTCAGGTAATTAAGGACGTTAAAATCAGAGGTGTTGGCCAAAAGAAGCAGATATGGCATCAGAGCTTGAAACCACAACAAAACGCGCCAACTGTGCCTTTAAGGGTGAACACAGAAGAATTAGGCTTTAAACAAGCTAAGAGATGAAAACAACTTATCACATAATATTAGAAAGATGAAGTTTCCATTTGGGATCTGTACAGGAGAAGACTAGGTCACTTGTGCAAGGACCCCTATATAGTCTTAAAAGGGGTAGATCAGGACACATGGATTAGTCGGTAAGACAGCAATTCTATGTCTCATTTAGTAGTGTCCCTAACTAATCAACATGATTTTGGAGTTTCTGTGTGAGCTACACTACTAGCGGCTCGAATCCACATTGAGGTAGATTTTGATAATTGACCCAGGCTCATAGGTCAACCCAAACTAAAATAAGCACCAGGGCCAATGCCCTGCTAAGTGTAAAGGTGACTAACATAATTTTGACCACAATCACTCATCCAGTCTATAACAATACAGGTCTAGTGCTTGTAATGATGCTGGCTAGGTTATTCCACTGATGACATCACAGGGGACATTAAGTTATTGTATTTGGCCAGATTATTAACTGGTGGCCAAGTAAAGGTTGAGTGAACAGGAGAATATATACTCCAGGAGTGCACCGAATTTGAAACATTAAGGCAAACCTTTTGGCCAGTAAGAACAACAGTGGAAATGTAAACTCAATTGACCACTAATTGAAATTAAAAACGACAGTGACATTTATGCGAAACCAAATTGCTGATATAGACAAGTTATTTCAGGCAAACGAAAGAAGAAGAATGACAACATGAAGAAGGAGAACATGTGCTATCGGGTTTCTTGAAAACAGATGAGTAAGTTCAGATATACGTTTTTGGGTAGAAAGTAGCTAGTTGAAAGAGTGAGAAAGCTAAGGATTCAGTGTAACAGGCTTGAATGAAATGAAGTGATCGTCAGTTGAACAACCGAATAGCACAAGTAACTCAGACAACGATAACTGTCGACAGACTGGGAACCAGTTCTGAAATACTAAATAAACATTTGCACGTAATGCAATAGTGTTTACACCCATCAATCGTGGACCTAAGTGTGTACAGTTCTGAGTATGCAGGACACAAGGACTTCACAGGTTCCTGGTGACTGTAATGTTGCTGAGCCAACAAAGGGAAGAGTGTTAGAGGAACAAGAGCTCACTCGACCCAAAAGGGCACAAAGCAGGACTTGACCATTACATGCACATTCATTATACAGATCTGGCATCTCAAGCCGGTGCATTGAAGGAAACATCGTTCCTATCAATGTTGGCCAGGCTCCTGGTCGGGAACATATTTCTAGAATGACCACAGAGTGGTGCAGCTAGGTTTGACCAGTATAAACCCTGGTCATGGTGCGCAATCACGTGCATTTCAGTATCTATGCATCCCAAAGTTAACGTCATTACAAAAAAATAAATAAATGTAGAGCAAAATGTTCTGGTAAAGAAAGAGTTTAAAGAGCCCAGATTTGTCAGAATTAGATTCTTCTCTTCTTCTTAGCGTTCACTGAATGTAAACACCAGCAGAAACTTCTGGTTATTTGTCCACTTCTGGACTTTGGTCTTATTCCGGAACTTGACTTGCGCACATTCATTTTGCACATCTGGCTTATGCGTGTGTGCAGACTACTGGTTACTCACCTATAAGGCAGATGTACACTGACTTTGAAGGAAACCATCGATCATATCTCAACTGGCCAGGCCTGCTGTATTGAAACTGTTTTTAGGATGACCGTGGAGTGGTGTGGATAGGCTCTGAACCGGCACATGTGGTTCAGCACCTCTTCATCCCACTCTAGCAATATAATTTTATGAATGATATTTTCATACCAATACTGGAATGTGTTTTCTCTTCAACTTCCTTCTTCTGCTGTTTCCCTTTAGTTTCATTGCTGTCTGCGGCAGTCTCAGCCTGAATCTGTCTCTTCTCTCCTCTGTGACCAGCATCCAACTGATCTACAGTTGTCTTGACTGGCAAATTTGGTGACTGTTTTAGTGATGATGATGATGACTGCTCTATATATATATAATTGAAAAATATATAAAAATATATTATAAAAAAATGTATATATATATATATATATATATATATATATATATATATATATATATATATATAATTATATATATATATATATATATATATATATATAATAAATAAAAGCTATAGCCATATATATGTTATATTGCAGATTTATGGATATATATTATATATATATAATAAATAAAAGCTCTAGCTTGTTGCAATAGATAGCAGCTTTGAATATCTAAAAATCAAACACATTTCAAAGTGTTCTTATTTTTATTTCCTACATGTGTGTTCTTCTTCTTATAGCCCATGCTGTGTGGTGTTGGTAGTCATGTATTTCCACAATCTTCTGTCCCATGTACTTTCAATCAAATCTGACACAGATGATTGTCCATGCAATAAGGTCAAACAATTCCACCATCACAATGTACTCAAGTTTTCACAATGTACTCAAGTTTACTCCTTTTCATGACATGATCAAACAAAGTAGATTGTCTCCTGATGTTGGCAATTAGTTCTGTTCGTGAGTCAATTTCTTTCAAGACATCTTCATTAAGTTTAGTTTTTTTTCAGTTTATCCAGAGTGTTATCATCTGTCAATAAAACCACATATCCACAGCTTTAAAATATATTTTTTCACAAATTGGCCAACTATCCATGATTCACTACAATATATCAGGACAGGATTTATATAGCTCTTGATAATTCTCTTTCTCACCTGGTTATATGATGAATTTGCTTGGGTTATTCTACATTCAACTTCTATAATACATCTTCCATTTGCTGTAATCAGGGTTCATAAGTATTTAAATGTATCTATCAACTTGCTAAAAGATCACCTCATTTACTTTGATGCTGAATTCTGGATGATGAGTTTTCTTTGCAATTAAAATTACTACTGTTTTTCTACCGTTCAAACTATGACCACCACTTGTTTTCTGTGAATTTTTACTTTAGCTATGTTAAACACAACAGCTTACAAAGCACAGTAATGGCTCATGGCAGAGAAGCAGGGTTGATAAGGGGTTCTTTTCTGCCTAAAGTAACCTGGTCTCTGAAAAGTGTGTCGGTATTTCAAACACTAGCATTAGAAGAAACAAGTTTTTCGCTAAATTATAAACTATTTGAGTCTTAGACAGGCTGCACTTTAACTCAACGATTCCTAAATTTGTTACCTAGAGTAAAAAATGTTTAGATCCAAAGGGTTTTTAATAACACTTCTTCTTAGAGTTCACACTGAGTGGCATTGGTAGCCATGTCTATCCATAACCTTCTGTCTTGTGTACTTTTCGTCAACTCTGACAGATGATCTTACATTCAATGATGTTAAACTGTCCAGCACCTGTTCTTTTAGTCTCCCTCTGCCTCTCCTCACCTCCAACTTTCCTACCATCACATGACCAAAGAATGTAGATTATCTCTTTCTGATGTGGGCAATCAGTTGTTTTCGTGAGCTAGTTTCTTTTAAGATGTCTTCATTACTCTTGTTATCTGTCTAGGGTATACTCATCATTAGTCTATAAAACCACTTTGCTGAAGCTTCCAAATAAGTTTTCACTTATTTACTAACTGTCCATGATTCACACCCGTACATCAATATAGGATTTATATAGCTTTTAAGAATTATCTTTATCATCTAAAATAACTTTAAGGGACAAACAATTTTCATTAAAATTTATGATGGCATGAGTTATTATAACAGTTGCATAAGAAACAAAGTGATCAAAAACACATCATCAGTAAGGAGTAACCAGTGAATGCATGGTGCCTGACTGATGCGGAATGAGTTAAACACTGACTGCAATGTTTTTTTTTTATAACAGTAATGGAAGGAACGGCTCCTGGAATATGAGGCAGGTAACAAGATCACTGATACTACTGGTCCTAGCACCGGATGAGAAAGGAGGGGTGGGCACAGGGTCAGCTAGCCCACTGTGCAATATTTTTTTTTTGCTACAGAAGCTTGCAGGAGAGAATGCCATTCCAGTAAACAAAATAGAGGAAAACTCTGAGACCTATGTGACACATAACAGCAAAACAGGACAATGATGATGATCAACTAGCAAAAAATATGGACACATAATTCTTGAAGACAACATCATCATCCTCATTAATCTGCATGATCCCCCTGTGGGTTCCAGGGCCCTATTATTGGGAAAACAACAGACCCACTGCCTACCCAAAAGCATGTTGTAAGAGTCCACTAACTGGAAGCTTCCTACGAAGTCGGAGTGTATCTGCCTGAGAGGCAAGGAACCTACACACTGCATACAAATGAGTCAGATCTGTAAAAAAGATGCACATGCAACACTCAGGTTCTGGAACGGGACTGCAGTCCAGAAGTGGATGAACAACCAGAATTGTCCGTCAGAGTTTACAGCCAGTGAACGCAAAGAAGAAGATTATTCTGCTGGTTCTTTTGAACACTGGTCTAGTCACAGCATGCTTGAACATCTTTTTTCTGTAGCCAATTTTCCAGCCCTATGAAATGTCTTAGCTAATGCATCTTCAATGCACCTTGGGCACACAAGAAATACATGAGGTTCCGAGATAAGGCACAGGAGCAAAAGGCTCTTTGGCAGGTGTGATAGCAATAACATGATGATACCGGCTGAAGTTACTGTTTTTTATTTGTATAGCATGTTAAGAAGTTATCATAATTTCTTACTAATTAACCCCTTTTTGTGTGTCACAGAGACAGATCTTTTCCTGAAGTTGCATTCCCACTGTCCATACTTGCAAAATTTGTTGTAACAAACCAAATATGACAGCTCTAGAATTTTATAAAACAATGTGTACTTCTTCTTCTTCGCGTTCACCAGCTGTACACTCTGGCCGAAAGTTCTGGTTGCTCGTCCACTACTGAACTGCAGTCCTGCTCCAGAACCTACCTGAGTGTTGCGTGTGCATCAGTTTTACAGATCTCATTCTCTTGAATACAGACTGTTGGTTCCTTGCCTCTCCGGCAGATGCACTCCGACTTCAAAGGAAGCTCCCCAATAAGTCGACTCTTACGACATGCTTTTGGGGAGGTAGTGGGTCTATTCTTGTTTTCCCCACAATGGGGCCCCGGAACCCACACGGGGAACAATGTGTACTAATAAATAGAAGAAAAAAAATAGGCTATCCTCCGAATAATGGTCCCAAATTATCAAGGCCGAAAATATACCCTAACAGGGCCTCAGTCACGTGTCAATTGCACACTTCTGGCAACTTAAATTGCACACTTCCAGCCACCACCACTGGTTAAACTAGATGGCAGGGACTCACGAGCCGCAGCTACTGCATCTCCCTTTATTTTATTCGCTCGTGAGTCCCAGCCATCTAGTTTAGCCACAATCCACTCTGCGTGAGCGGCGTGGCGGATACTCTCAGCGGTGGTGGTATAGTCCCCAGGAGTTCGCAATTGACATGTGACTGAGGCCCTGTTAGGGTATATTTTCAGCCTCGATAATTTGGGACCGTTATTCGGATAGCCAAAAAATATAATTAAATAGGTTTTTAAACAGTTTGAAGTTTGTTTTGTTACAGAGGAACTCAGCACTCCCGAGATTTGATTATCTCAGTGATGACCGATCTCTGAGTGCCAACCAACAGACCTGAGAACTCTGTGGAAGAAGATAAAAACTTCTGAAAAGTAAATATTTAAATTGCAATATTAAAAAAACCTTTAATTTTGCAGATAAATCCGTGTTAATATGCACTTTAGATCTTACTTTTCGTGTGATCTGGCTCTGGTAAATCGCCGAACAGATCCATCGGATCGGTTGAAGAACTTTCTCTTCTTCCGGGGATAACTAAGAGACGCCGTCGTCTACAAAACGCTTGGACCCCAGAAAAGCGGAAGTGGGAAGTGGACACACAAACTCGTTTTATTCTTATTCGCCTCCTATTTTCCGGTATCTATTAAATTAGGTTTAGATTTGAACAACAGATCAACGTCATGGCACAAGGGTAACAACACATAAGTGCTCCGTTCTACTTCTTACTCAAGTCTGAGTCCGAAGAATCTCAGCGCAGTGCACCGGCCCCGGAGAGAATCATGAAATATTTTGAGTGGATTTTTAACTCAAAATTTTACTCGTTCAGCGGCGATAGGCTACTCCTTTTGATTTCCAAATGACAAAGAATTTTTTACGTGGGCAACAATACACACGGGCGTAAGTCTTACTACCCAAAGACCAGGGGAAAATACTAGAAGTCCACATGAACAAATCCCAGCCTTCACCGGGGTCTGAACCTGGGACCTCCAGCACTAGAGGCGGACGCCATGCCTCGAGGCCACGCAGCCCCCTGTCTTCTTCTTCTTCTTCTTCTTCTTCTTCTTCTTCTTCTTCTTCTTCTTCTTCTTCTTCTTCTTCTTCTTCTTCTTCTTTGTTTTCTTCTCCTTCTTCTTCAGCGTTCCGAATACTTGAAGTTCATTGCTGCAGATATCACCCGCCTCCACTCATCTTTCTGGCTGACTTTTTTTTTTCCAGTTGGTGACACCAAGTGTTTGCAGGTCTGGATGTTATCTCTACATCTCCATCGCCCCTATCTATTTATTAAATTAGATGTGGGTCTCCGCCTGTGGGTTCCAGGGCCTCATTGTAAGAAAAACAGGAATAGACGGACTGCCTATCCAACAAGCATATCGTAAGAGTCGACTAATTGAGGGTTCCCAGTGAAGTTGGAGTACATCTGCCTAAGAGGCAAAGAACCAACAGTATACATACTGCATGAATCAGATCTGTGAAGCTGATTTACACGCAGAACTCAGGTTCTGCACCAGGACTACATTTTAGAAGTGAACGAACAACCAGAACTTTCCACAAGATTTTACAGCCGGTGAATGCAAAGATGGAAAAATGGACAGAGAAATTAGCCCCAGATGTACCAAAGCAAATCAAGTACTGGGGCAACTATCTCTCTGGTTGAAACACAAGCAGATACTCCAAACTGAACCTTTTCAGAACTATTTTTTAGCTTACACTTTGTTGTCAGTGTCAGTCATGGACACGTTCACCCTCTTATTAACGTAGAATTGTGACAACAGAGTCACCCTTCACTGAGGTAAAAGGTGAAAGAGAAGAAGAAGAAAAAAAAAGAAGATCGCGCAGGAAAAAAATGTGGGTTATCTTCTTTTGTCGTTTACAGTATCGTAGGATTTTTTTTTTTTTAATTTGTCTTGGCTTTTTGTGTGGACTAAGTATTCAGAACATCAAGAGATGAGCACATAAGCCTGTCAGAGAGTACAGTTAAGAGAGAAAAACTCTGGTATACATTGTTCTCTTAAATAAGTTATGAGTTATGATTTGAGTTATCTGAACACGTCTAGTCCCACTTTAACATACACATCAGCGTCACGCGGTTAACAGTGCCAATCAAATCTGGTCAGCAATACTTCTTGTGAGTCGGGTTTGCCTCTCATACCTGGTTTTCCGATCTTTACCCCCAGTTCTTGCATTCTTAGCAATGATGTGAACCCGCCGCCCCTAAAATCCACCGATCGTCTCATGTCTCTAAAGACATTAATAATGTCGGTGCGATCCATAGGCCATCTGCAACTTTCGCAGAACCAGCCAGGCTATCACTCTTCGATTGTCAACAATACCCATATACCCTACCTTTATTTTTGTTCCGGGACACGCAGGCGTCGATGGAAATGAAAGAGCTGACAGGTTGGCTGGATCCGCTATCACTACCGACGGTCGGCCTATGGATCATGCTGATATTATCAATGCCCTCAGAGAAATGGGAAGGATAGAGGACTTTGGTGGCACTGAATCTACATCACTCGCCAGAATGGCAGACTTGGGAATTAAGATCGGCACAGCAAAAAACGAGACGCACACCGGACACGTCAGAAGACTTGTTAATCAACATAGAACTGGTACTATTAGCCATCGGACGTTGGGGTTCATACTGAGGGGAGGATCTGAGCACCTATGGACATGTCCGGAGTGCAATGACGATAACCCAACTAACTAACTAACTAACTAACCCATATACCCTGTTAAGAATAAAAAGGCAACCCAACGAACAGTGGCGGAACTCTGGCCGACGCTCAACACGGAAAAGGCGAGACGGATTATAAGCTGACTGTTACTAGTACCATCGAAATTGGAACTCTTCGCTTGCTGTTGAAGATGGGGACGGGGCACTTTTGGGGGTATCCCAAGAGCTGTGATGTCGATGCTTAATTTCACATTCGCGGCAGATTCGACTTTACGCCATCTCATCGATGTTAGGACGTGTATTTCGGTTTCAAATTTTGTTAATGTTCAGATTCACAGTTTTAAAGATTTGTTCTCGACGGCGTAACGTCTTGAAGAACGTAATTTTCGTTCTCTGATAATAATAAAAGTCTCTCGCCTGCGTTTAAGCCAAGTACCAGAGCACCATGCATCGGATCTGTATTTATGGAAGTCTTCTGCGATGGCATAGAGTGCCTATGTTCGGCCTTTGCCTTTTCCTTGAAAGTCGAACAGGATGCACCTGGTTGCCTTGGATAAGTCTAATAGGGGGACCCACGGCACTACTTGTAGAAGACCAGGTGCATAGATGACGACACCACAATAAGGCTGTGCATTGTCCAACTAAGCTGATCGTGAAGACTAACACGAACAATAAATGTCCGATGAAGTCGGGTTTGTGCATCGAAAGGCACAAATATCGCAACTATTATGTAAACACACACAAGGTAATTACGTCAAACGGACAGATGGCAGTGGGAACTCATGCCCGACTGCTTCGCTTGCAAAATCACGAGTACCGCAAGAGCGCTCAGGCTTTGTTATAGATCGACCGTTAGATGAACGAAGATGATGGAATAGAAGTAACCTTTAAAAAAAAAATACTTGTGTAGCTGCTGTCAAATATATCTACGGGGCCAAGTGGTGACCAGGTTAGACAATTTCCTTAAACCGGATTCCCCTTTGTTCGTTTCACCAGTGCAGGTGTTTCGAAAATCTTTTGTTGTCACTGGCGAATGGAAAACGTATTTTATGCTATCAGGCATACTTTCTGTGGGCGATCATCACCGAATGGAAAGACACAGAACCAAAGAATGGCGTATGGAATAAAACTTGATGCAGTGAGATCAAACAATTCTCTTCTTGACAACTGAGGTCTTAGTTTTTACAGTCGGTACCTTATCAGCCTGGAGAGGCTCATGAAGGGGGGGGGGGGTGGGGGGTGTTGTCTTCTGTTTTTGGTCTTGGATGTTTGTTAGGCCAAGTTTTTCTGTATATATACAGAAGGCCGTGGTTAGGCCCACTGTCCTGAAAAGGAACATTGTTTATGACGACGTAGACCGATGTTTGGCTTTTTCCGGCGGCTTACAGAACGGCAACCAAGCAGCAGCAGGGCACCAGCACAGCGACCAGCACGAGGCAAGCTTAGCCAAGTACCAGCAACAGTCAGCTAATACCCGTAGATACCATCACAAAGAGATCTGGACCACACCAGACCCAAAAACCACAAGCAGCACAGCAAGCATGCAAAGAACCGTAATATCAGGAGTGACTACACACCACAAATAAAAGGAAACCATTTAAGACAGCTAAGGAACCTTCCTCGATATAGCAGGCCTCCGGGCGGCTGAAAAAGGATCAAATTTGGAATTTTTGTTGGACGAATTGGAATTGGAATTAGGCCCATGGTTGAGCCATCGCTGATAATAGTTCTAGCAGTCTCTTGGTCTTCCACATTTTCTTTTCTATTCCGGTGTCCTTATGAGGCTTGATAGGGTTGTCTTGTCTTATCAAATTTGAGAGCATGATCGATGTAGTTCCAGTGGCACTTTCTTTTGAAAATGGATACATTATCTTGCGTGGTCTCTTGTCTTATTTGCGAATTGTATCTTAACTGCATAAAAATATTAAAAATGACGTCATCAAATAGTGTGTATGGGATCCCGAAGGGCACACTTCCGGTGTAGCGACCTTTGAGAGCAGTGCATGCCGTACACCAGAATAGAATAAGAGACACAGAACAAGACATGGATCCTAAGAGAGCAGCAGATTTTGCAGGGAGATTGAAAAATGCAGGACCAAGAGGTGTAGGTGCCGGTCTGGGCATCGCTGCTTTAGCTGGCGGAATTTACGCGCTAACGCAGTCTATATACACAGGTGAGAAGATTGCCTGACGAGAGCGGTCGGCGACCATCATTTGTCCTTTTGTTGAATTTTCGTGTCTGATGAAACATCTTTCGATCGCTGGCTATGGTTATAGTTGTAATCATAATCATGATAGATAATATAATGAATTAATTATAGAAATGTAAATGCTTCTAACTGTTTAAATAGCTTGGAGATTGTAATTGCAAACTGACTGAGTAGGGTTAGTGTTACACCTTACACAGTTGTCACTCTATAATTATATAATAAGGCTGTCCTTTCACTACACTACAGGCCGGTAGCTGGAAAGCCACCAATCGGCTTAGTGTGAGTTCTCTCCCTTGGCTGCATTGCAAACACGGAGCGGAAAAGTCACGAATAAAAAAAGACAGTGAGGTCGACAACAGGGCTGCCAATGCTTGGGTGTTTCCCCCCAGATCTGGGTGTTTATTTGACGCTTTGGGGGAAATCTAGTTTTTTTTTAAAAAGTAAATATGTCCGTATATATACAAACGTGGTATTAGTTGCCACGGATGTGACTCCTGCAGATCTGTATGACTTAATGACCGATAAATTTGCGTGGTTAGGGTTAGATGTGACAATTTTGACGCAGCAGTTCCAAATAATTGCGCAGTCACATACACACCCAAACAATTGAAGGACTGTGGATGCTACTCAAACGGACAATTCGCCACCGATTGGGCACCAGCCGCGCGCTATTGCCGCCATATTTGGGAGAATTCCAGTGGCGCCACTCCCATAAGCATCAGATTGTCGGCCATTATTTGGAACTCCTACGTCAATATTTTCACATCTAACCCTAACCCTATCTCTAACCCTAACCCAACCCCTAACGCTGCTAACCCAAACCCTACACACTACGCCACCGTATGATGACTACGCAACGGTATGATGATGGGTAAGTATGTCATTTGATTCGTGACTTTTCCGCTCCGTGTTTGCAATGCAGCCAAGGGAGAGAACTCCCACTAAGCTGATCGGCGGCTTTCCAGCTACCAGCCTGTATTGAAAGAAGAGCCTATAATAATAATAGTGATATATATTTTATTAGTTCGTTCTGCCATCTCAAGACAGGTAATACAATAATAATCATAATAATGCAGTATAGTGAATTAATATTATATTATTAATAAACATTTTTAAATGGTTGGATATCATATAAGATTACTTAATACTTACTAACCAAACTAAGAAGAATACAGGCGTACACCGAATGCTGAATTCTACTTATCTTATTGAAATTGAAGTCATTTTTTTTAGCATACTTAGTATGATACTAATTTCATTCATTAATTTTAAGTTACTGTTTTTTAAAAGTCTACACTAAGAATTTTGGCTAATGTTTAGAGTTAACCACCAATTTTGTAATGTCATATTCATATATTACTCTTTATTTGATAAACAGATATGTGGTAAAGTAAAACAATATTGATTATGAAGTTGAATTCAGCATGGTTTCCAAACCTAAATTTGCCATAAAGTAAATTAATAAATGTGATTCAGTGTTGCACCAGTGAAATAGGTTCAGATACAAGTCATTTAAGCAATCCTAACTCATTAAAAATCTCTGATTTAATTGATTTATGATAAGCTTTTTTCACTACTCAACAGTTGATGGTGGTCACAGAGCCATTATTTTCAGCAGATTATCCGGGATACGGCCAGAGGTCTATGTTGAGGGTTTGCATTTCAGGTATTGACATTCTCCTCTGTATTATATGTGTATTAGATATTATTTATATTACAATTCTTATGATTGCCAATGTTCATGTATGTCCCTCTCTTTCCTTTTCCTTCTGTAGCTGACCCTTAATACTCAGGGGGAAAGCAAGGTGCAATCAAACTGCTACTGATTCCATAAGAATTTGAACTTTGTGCTGGCTGCTGAAGATGGGAACAGAGCCCTTATTGAAATGTCATAGTGCTGATGTCAGTCCTGAACTGTCTTATCCTTTGTCCTCTAAGAATATTTTTTTTTCCTCTAAGAATTAAAAAAAATATTGTGTTTATAAGTTTTTGTGTGCTGATGAAGACTTTCTAGCCACACAATTTATTTTATCACTCTTGATTGTATTCTTGTAACATCTACCAGCTCACCCTTCCATATTCATGATCCAATTCTTTTCTATGGCTTAACTCTGAGTCCCAAGGAGCGCATCATGCATTCATAGGTTCCTACCTAGAAGCCCAGTAAACGCAAGATTCACTGATTTTACGCCTCTCTTTACTACCCCTTGGGCCTGGGATGCTAAACCCTCTAGGACTCAAAGAGTTAAAAGTTGTTGAATGCATTTCACAATCCTTGACATACCGGGATTGCATTTCTGGGATAAGTGGTTTAAAAAAAAAATCCCAGTTTTTGTTGTTTGTAATGAGGCCAAGAAATGTATGACTGCCAATTTTTTATGGAGCTAACATATATATTAAAATGATTAAAAAGGCGAGAGCAGCTTTCATTGCACAAGCAGATGTGTTGAAAGTCAGTAGAAATTAAACCCAGTATCAGACATTAGTGAATTGTCATAGACCAAGAGCCAGACCAAGAAAATGGTGGAGAGATAATATTCAGACAGTCTACAGACACTTGGCGTCACAATTTGGGAAGAGAGGGCAAGCCGCAGAAATGAATGGAAATGGGTGATATCTGCAGCAGTGAACCTCAAAGGTTTAGAATGCAGAAAATCAGAAAGAATTAATATTACTCTGTTGAATCAGCACTTACGTATATGTAGCATAACACAAGAATGAAAAGTATTTATACTTAACTAGAAATATTCGTTAACTTGTGCCAGTGTTTGAGTCAGGTCAGAGAAAACAAGATGCAAAGTATGTCCTACAACCCCATGTTGGTTGGTTAATCACACCCCTCCCCCCTCTCTGTTCACCTCTCAAAAGGGTGGTCAGCATGTTGTGTTCTGGTCTACAGCTAGGATATGATATCTGCACCTTTTTTACCAACATATCCGATTTCAGCAAATCCCTAATAGTCATCTTTTAAGACATGCTTATTAGGGGCTGTGAGTCTAATCTCAACACCCCCCCCCCCCTTTCCACAAACCACCTTTTCCAATGCTACCCAGGAACCCACTCTTGAAATCAAGGTTATCAAGATAGCGCAGGGTCTGTTGGAGGATCATCTGGAGTTTTAGCTCTATGAGTTTGCATTGACATTAATGTCATTTGAGATCTGGAAAGCGCTGGTATCCATCAGTGAGGTAGATATGAAGGTACAAGGTACCCTTGCCTGGTACCAGAGTATGTCTTGCAGAATTCTCATTTCCCTCAAACCAGTGAGCTGTACAAGGATGGTACTGGAGATTTTTTTCTTATGAAGTATCTTAGGATGCCATCAGGTTATGATTCAGCGGAGCATTTACTGACAGGTTAGGCTGGGGTTGGTCATGTTTTTTCAGCAGGTGTGAGGCCACAGGCGAACGAGGCTCTGGCTCGCCAGATGGGATGGGGTCCATCTGGTCAGATTTTCCCTTAAACTGCGACTGGCCTAGCAAGCCGGCAGTGGATTTTTTATTGCTACGAAAATTAGAAAGGAGATAAATAAACGGACAGCCCCAAATGGAAAATGGACTGGAAACGTTAAAGGACGACGAGACAGAAACCAACTATCACCTCTGCTTAAACATCCAGATATAACCATGAAGACCAAAAGACAATTGATAAACACCATCTTCATTCCAACACTCTGCTACCAGTGCCAGACATGGACAATCAACAAGACCCATGAAAGAAAAATAGAAGTCTGTGAAATGAAATGTCTAAGAAAAGCAGCGAATAAGACCAGACTAGACAGGATAAAGAATATAGACATTAGAAACACTGTCAAAACTACACCATGTTTAGACTACATAGAACATCAAAGAATGAAATGGTTTGGACATCTAACCAGGATGAAAAATGATCAAATAACATCACAAATTTTCAACCAAAGAAGCTCAGGATATAAGGCAAGAGGAAGACCAAGGAAACTGTGGATTGACGGGGTCTCCGAAACCTGCCAAAAGCATGGCCTCAGAACATCAGATGCTGCCCGCCTTGCTTATGACAGGAACTTGCATCTCCCCACAACGCTTAGCGGCATACGTGGAAGGAAAAAGTAAAAGTAAGTATATAAAAAGCAGCTATTAGGTGTGCCACTACCAACAGCTCTATAATTGTAGCTCACTGTTGGTGCAGATGGTTGTTTTCAAAAGCTGGCATTGCAGCACAGAAGTACATGTTTTTCTGACCACATTGGCCACAGCAATTTTAATGCGGTCAGCAACATGTGGCGAGCACAGCTAAAAAAAAAAAGGTCTACATGAAATCCACAGGTAACTTTGTTGTTGTTGCACTAAGCAGTCAGCTCAGTTGTTAGGTGGTGAAACATTTGGTCTTCCTGTCCAAATATGGAGCATTTGCATCAGTAGACTACAGCTAGAAACAAATACAGTTTCAGAGTGCCGGAGATTAACACAAAGATAAAAAAGCCCGAAGGAAAGTTAGCAATAGTTTTCTTTTACAGGACCTCACAAACTAGGCCCAGCATTTGTTGCCTGTTGGTGGTTTTACTAGACAGTTTTACTTTTATTAGTTTGTCGTTGCTTTCCTCCTGTGTGGGTTCTGGGGACCCATTTTGGGAGTATAAAGAATTGACCTACTGACTCATTTACAAGCATTTCATAAAAGGCAATTAATTAGGGCTGTTTCCTTGGCATTTGGAGTGCATCTGCCTGAGAGGCGAGGAATCAGCAGTCTACATAAAAATAAGCCAGATCTGTAAAATAGACATGCATGCAAAACTCAATTCTGAAACAAGACCTAAGTCCAGAAGTGGATGAACAACCAGAACTGTCCAGGGGGGGTTTACAGCCAGTAAGCACTAACATAGCATGATTGCTTTCCAACAGAAGACTGAGGAAGGCTATGCATTTGAAAAAAATAAATGTCTTTTCTAGAAGTAATCTGGAAATGATTCTCAGAATACCATGGACAAAGAAGAATATAAGTACTGATATACTGAAAGATTTGAAGATCAAAGAAGTTTGGCTAATAAACAGCATCTTGTCTTGAAAGCTTAAATATTTTGGCCATATCAGGCACCACAGTGATTTGGAACTAAAATAGCAGAAGGGAAGATTGCACAGGACAGGAAAGCATGGAAAGTCCTCTCTGAAGCCTCATGTGCCACTAGGCATAACGAGAACTGATGATGACTGATGAATAGCAGAAGGCATGGTACTAAGAGGTAGGGGTTGGGGTCGATCAACACGAAGACGGCCACAGGATATACGTGACTCATTGGATTTGAAAGTGCGGGAGAGCTGACAAGAGACCACGGGTTTCTTTTGGGCAGGCGGTGATGAGAGCGGTGTTCTGCAAAGGACCTGCTACATGATGATGATAAGAAAAGTAAAGGCAGTAATGAAGGAAACTGGTCACTGTACTTGAAATGCTTAGAATGTGCTAAGGCCTTACATTTGACACAACTCTGTCAATCTTTCTCATTGGTAGCCTGTGAAGGAATATGGGCTAGCAGAATAAATTGAATCAGCCAGTGATTTTGTTTAAAAAAAAGTCACTGCCTTATTTAAGATGCAACCTTTTTGCTTTTGCCAGCAAAAACAAATTAAATTGGCTAGTTATATCGTTAAAAAAAACTTATTTGACAATGCAACCTTTTTGCTATTCTAATTTTATAAAATTATAAGTTATGGTATAATTTAAAAAGTATGGAATCTCAGAACTTTGAAAATAAGAAGGTACACAGTCTTAGTATTAGTAATTGGGATCCACTTGCTTATTTCATACATGGCGTGGCGTTTATTAAAATAAACCAGAACTGTTTTTCTTTGGATTTGATTCAAGACGTAACTCTTTTTTTTCAGGGTCCCTTGGTTTCAGTATCCAATTATATATGATATTCGATCTCGGCCAAGAAAGCTTTCGTCTCCTACCGGCAGCAAGGGTAAGAGTTGATGAAAACAAGGACACCAATTCTTGCTTAGTCTCTCAATGTCTTTTTGTTAATAGTAGAACGACCATAATATCCTGAGCTGAAAACGGGACAGCAAACTAATATTTTGAGCTGAAAACTGGACATCCCAAGCAAGTCAGGCTACCCCAACTTCCTCATCACCACCTATTTGTTCCTCTAGATTTGTTTTTAATTATTAATCATTAAGTAAAAATTACATTTAAAGAACATGTGAACATACAGGCATAAACATGCTAATTAAACAATATGAACACTTTTTCTGTGGTTCTTTCTCTTCTTCGCGTACACCAGCTGTAAACTCTTGCGGAAAGTTCTGGTTCTTCATCCACTTCTGAACTGAAGTCCTTTTCCAGAACCTGAATGTTGCGTGCATATCCATTTTACAGATCTGACTCATGTGTATGCAAATTGTTCATTCCTTGCCTCTCAGATGCACTCCGACTTCAAAGGACCAGGTTTACTTAAAATGGATCTTAAATATTTGAAATGATTGACTTGTTCGAATTCATGGCTTTTAACAAACCTTGCTGTAGTTATGCACGCTAGATTTTTGGTCATTACTTTAGTATTTTCCGCCTTTATTTCCCGTTTAACTTTTTTCTCTAATTACATTGCATGCCTTCTTTTCTATTGGTTCCGTTAGTGTAGTGTATAGATTTATATATTCCCTGTGTGAGTTCTGGGACCTCATTTTGGGAAAAACGAGAATAGACCCACCCACAATAATAGCATATTGTAGGAGTTTAACTAGGAGCTATCTTCGAATTCGGAGTACATCTGCCCAAGTTACAAGGAACAACCAACTGCACATAAATTAAGCAAGCAAAATGGATGTACACTCAAAACCCAGGCCCTGGCACAAAATCAGAGTTCAAATGGGTGAAAAACCAGGACTTTCACACTGGAACTTACAGTTGGCGAACAAAGAAGATCTATATATTTTCCCCTTCAGATTAGATTACATGCTAAATAATTTTAAATTGATCAATGGAGGCATTAAAAGTATCTTAAACTATTAAATCTAATATGATATACAGATATAACTATAAATGTATATGGGCTGTTGTCAAGCCTAGATTTGTGTAAACCGTAGCTTAAAAAAAAAACTGCAGTTACTGGAGGGTGGGGGAGGTGGCCTTTGCCCCTGAGGATTTAGGACAACATGGCTAGTGCTGTGACTGCAGGTCACAGGTTAGAATTTTATTTTTGCTCTTGAAAAACCCAACCTTAGTGTGGATTTGAACTCGGGTCTTCTGCCTACTTTTGAATGTAGTCGATTTTGTGTTAAGGCAAGAAGAATTCATTTTCTTGTTTGTTGTTGCTTCATAAAAATCAGGGGTTTCCTGTGTTAGTTCAGGGGCCCCCTGTGTTAGTTCAGGGGCCCTATTATAGGCCTTCAAAGTCGGAATGCATCTGCCTGAGAGGCAAGGATCCACCAGTCTTCATAAAAATAAGTCAGATCTGTAAAAACGGATGCACATGCAACACTCAGGTTCTGGAACAGGACTGCAGTCCAGAAGTGGATGAATAACCAGAACTTTCTGCCTAAGTTTGCAGCTGGTGAACGCAAGGAAGAAATCAAGGGTTACTGTAGTACGAACCTGACACAATAGGGGGAATTTGCCAGGCAATAAATTGTGCAATATGTGTGTGTGTCTTTTTTTTTTTATCTTGGATTGACTGTAAGCTGAAAAGGGCTAAGTAACCACATTTGATGTAATTTAGATCTGCAGATGGTGAATATCTCTCTGAGAGTCCTGTCTCGACCAAATGCCATTGCTTTACCTCAGATCTACAGACAACTGGGCACTGATTATGATGAAAGGGTGCTGCCCTCTATTTGCAATGAGGTATTTAATTTAACTTAATGAAACTAACATATTGTTGAATTATTACATGGATAGTTGTTCATTACATGGAGGTAAGTCTTATAGAAAATAGCATGAAGAACCTCTGTCACGGCACATAAAAATGAATTTATTTTAAAATGTTGCAATCAAGCATCTTTCCCTGTGCAATTTATGGATGTCAGTCATAGACTGTTACTCAGTCTTTAAAGACACAAACCTGAGCTTTTGAACTGAAACCTACAGACATTTTATTTCTCTAAAGAATACCATAGACCAAGAAGAAGAAACGCCGACATCCTACATGATCTGAGCATCGAGGAGAAATGGCTCATAAATAGCATCCTGTCCAGAAAGCTGAGGTATATTGGTCATGTTAAGAATCATGGTGGACTGGAGAGAACGTGATGGAAGGTGCAGTTTCTGGAAAATGAGACCAACCTTTGTGTACCTAGATGCAAGACATTAAAGACACATTGTCTACTTAAGCACGTAGGGCTAGAGAATTGGTTAGAGAAAGAGACTTTCAGGCATGCTGTGAAGAGAGCAATGTTCTGTAAAGGACCTGCTTGTTGATAAGTCTTGTGGCAGATACTGTCTGGGATGGGAAGTGTCCCCTTCCCCCATCACCTATCCTTTTTGGACAAATAACGAAATTTGCCATGGCCACTTTTTAGGAGATAAAGTTAGCCTGTGAGCTGTACTGGGCATAAAATCTGGCCACTTTTGTCGACTAAATCCATATTCCTGTCTAGGCAGAGCGGTGTACTGATTACAACTGCTTTTTTCTCCTTGTCCAAAATCATTTGCTTCACAGTTTGAAAGTCGTGGGTTTGTTTCACATACTGCGTTATTCAGTTCATGCAAGCAATTTTTTTTTTTTAACCGAAATCCCTGGCAATTGTCACTAGATCTACAGGGTTCAGGCTTTGTGTAGTGCTATTAGCAAGCAGCTAGCCATTCTGCTGAGAGAGACCTGGACGTGTGGGATTAAACCATGTGCATTCATCTTTTTCTACTTCTTCGCTTTAAATTCCAGCAGAAATTTCTGTTTGTCCCTACTACCTCTGGACTTTAGACTTATTCCAGAACCTGAATGTTGTGGGCACATCCGTTTTACAGATCTGACTTATTTGTATGCAGACTGACTGTTGGTTCCTTGCCCCTCTGGCAGATGCACTCTGACTTCAAAGGAAGCCCCAATTTAGTCGACTCTTACGACATACTTGTTGGGTAGGCACTGGGTTTATTCTTGGTTTCCCTTCATTGGGGCTCCCGGAACCCACACAGAAAACCCTATGCATTAAAGTCGGTTCTCTTTTTGACTTTAAACTTCATCATCATTGTGCCATTATATGTCACAGAGTGCCAGCAGTCTTCTCTTCTATTCCATTCTATCCTGTGGAATCCCTTCATTATCATGGTATCCAGTCCAGCACCTTGGGCCTCTGTCAACAGCACCCATTTTAAAGTTTTATTTGTATGTCCTTTATTTCCTATTTTATCGCCTGCTCATTTCTTCAGAGGATATGTCCAGTATAATGCCTTTTTATTTGTCTTGTAACTAATATTACCAGTGGTTGCCCAGATATTTCTCTTATTTCTGTACCCGTTGAATTCTTCCTACTTTAAGCTTTAGAGACAGAAATAGTGTTAATTAATAGGAACTGGCACATAGAATGTTTGAAGCAATTGATCTTATTGTGAGAAACATCCTTCTTAAGATCTGATGTGTGCACTTTTCCATCTCTCCAATTTTATCCTCTTTTGGAGGATTGGCCCTTTACTAAATAACACCAAAAATCCTATCCTTTGCCACCATCTGTAGCTTCCTGCATGGTAATTTATGCCTATGATTCTTTTCATCATGTGTGAATAGGTTCCCCACTATTTCTTGTACACTGTTGGGCTTGATGAAAAGATGTTCTAATTTTCACGAATACAAGATTTTCTGTTTGCCTCATTTGGTTTTGCATAAATCAAATATGCAAATCTTATATTTGCTCCTACCCTTTGTGTTTTAGGAAGTAAAAATGGCTGGCATGATGTTGACCACAACATCCAAGTGCCATTTGTTCTATAGCAGTATTAGGCTGAGCCTTAAAAGCCAGAATTTCTCACCTAGCAAATCATTTGTTCTATAGCAATATTAGGTTGAGCATTAAAAGCCAGAATTTCTCACGTGGCAAATCATTTGTTCTATAGCAGTATTAGGTTGAGCCTTAAAAGCCAGAATTTCTCAAATCATTTGTTCTATTCCCCCGTGTGGGTTCCGGGGCCCTACTATGGGAAAAACAAGAATAGACCCACTGCATACCCAAAAGCATGTCGTAAGATTCGACTAATTGGGAGCTTCCTTCGAAGTCGGAGTGCATCTGCCTGAGAGGCAAGGAACCAACAGTCTGCATACAGATCTGTCAAACGGATGCACACGCAACACTCAGGTTCTGGAACAGGACTGCAGTCCGGAAGTGGACGAAACAACCAGATCTTTCCGCCGCAGTTCACAGCCGGTGAACACGAAGAAGAAGAAGATTTGTTCTATAGCAGTATTAGGTTAAGCCTTAAAAGCCAGAATTTCTCTGGCAAATCATTTGTTCTGTAGCAGTATTAGGTTGAGCCTTAAAAGCCAAAGAGTTTCTCACTTGACAAATCACAGATCAATCTGTGTCAATGACAGCATCCCCCTCTAGAGAATTCTCAAAAATCAAAATCAGTTCATAGTTGTTAGGTTCTTTGCTGAGATGTCCTAGGAAAAGGGAATGTTAGCATCCTAAGAAAAAGGAATGTTAGCATTTTAGACTCTTTTCTATGAAAGACTCCATTCCCTTTGTATAGCTTTTAACCAGCCAGGTATACATTTGTTGTGACTGACTGGCATATCCACATGACAAATTCTAAAATTGTAATTACACAATAAAATTTGATATCCTCAGGTCTTAAAGAGTGTTGTGGCCAAATTCAACGCCTCCCAGCTGATCACCCAGCGTCAACAGGTGTCCCTGCTGATTAGACGAGAGCTGACCCAGAGAGCCAAGGATTTCCACATCATCCTTGATGATGTTTCTATCACAGAGCTTAGCTTTGGGAAAGAGTACACGTCTGCTGTTGAGGCCAAACAGGTAAGATGGCAGTCTGTATGTTAGTGTCTCCGCCTGGGTTCTGTGTCCAGTTTTGGAGGAAAAAAGAATTGACCTAATGCCACTTGACAAGCAAGTCATAAAAGGGGACTAATTAATTCTGCTGAAATTTGATAAATTGCATTTAGAAGTGCAGATACCACAGTCTAGCTTTCAACCACAATACCTGCCAGCCACCATTTTAACTATTTCTGTCACAAACGCAGCACTCAGCCTGATTTGGGTGCATCTGACTGAGGGTCGAGGAACCAGCTGTCTCCATACAAGTAAGCCAGATATGTAAAACAAATGTGCTGGCAAAACTCAAGTTCTAATACAAGACCAAAATCCAGAGGTCGATGAGCAACCAGAACCTTCCACATGAGTTTACAGCCTGTGAATGCTGAGTTGTTGTTACCAGGAAAGAAAAGAAGCTGTCTAGTCTTCGGTTGGACAGTATTAGAGAGCTGCCTACTGCCGTAATGTCAGCAGCTTTCTGGAAGCTTTGTGACAGGCATCTATTTCAAACACATCTATTTCAAACACAACTAACCCAACACTGTCAGAGCATATACACCAGCCTCTAATACAATTTACAACAAGCGATCGGCAGTTCCACCTAGAAGTGGCTCACGTTATAAACCCTCCCCCCACCGGCCTGAGTGATACGACAGACCACGCCGCTGCACCAAGTCACCTGAGTACTGTGCCCACATGCTCATTCTCTTTCCTGAATCATCTCACTAGGACTAAACACACTGTACTATCTCTTAAAACACAGATGTTACACAGACGACTAACACTTCAGTTAGAATACCATCAGATTAGCACATTATCACAAACGAACCTTTGCTAACTGAAATTAGTTACAGAAACACCTAGGGACAAAACACATGTTTTGTCCAAGTCCAGGTATCTGAGCAACACTCCTCAATACTGTTCACTCAGTCCGTTTCATCCAGTCAGCCGCTCACCGCCAGGGTCAGTGAGCCCCTCGTATATCCTGGAGTCTTTAGCTGTTCCTCACATAGTCCTTGTCGGAGTCTCTGTGGGCTGTTGAATGTGTAGTCGTCTAAATGGTAGTCCATCAGCCACTATCATCACCTACAGTCGTTCCATAGCCACACAGACCCCTGTCAGACAGAAACAACCTTTGTTGAAATAAAGATTCTTCTGTTGTCACACTGTCACCAGGTTGTAGCCCAGTGTCAGGGTTCTCTGTATTTGTCTTGCACTTCAGAGTGGTTTGATTAGTGAATGTGTAAATATTTTTTGGAGGATTTGGCTACACAGACTATATCCATATTTTGCTTGGTCTTCCTCTTGACTACCGCAAATCTTCCAGATCATTTCTAAATCAATACGTGTTTTATTGTGTTCATATTATTTTTTTACCCTTAAGTATTAATGTTTTTTGTTCTGTTGTAGGTTGCCCAACAAGATGCGCAGAGAGCTCAGTTCATTGTAGAGAAGGCCATCCAAGAGAAACAGCAGAAAGTGGTCCAGGCTGAGGGTGAGGCCGAGGCTGCCCGGCTCATCGGTGAAGCAGTGAGTGCCAATCCTGGCTATCTCAAGCTGAGGAAGATCCGTGCTGCCCAGAACATTGCCAGAACAGTAAGTTTTTGTCTTGCTGCTCTTGAATTATCTACCCACGACAGCTGAATAATCAAGTAAATCAAACAGTTGAATTAGGTCTGCTGGCTTCTCAAGGTGACACCAGTGATGAGTAAGAGGGTCAGTACAGAAATAATGAGAAGGATGTGATGATTCCTTAGATGAGCCAAATACCAGAGTGTCATATATTGGCTCTGTGTTAATGGAAGCTTTTGATGATGGAATATGGTCATGATTTGCCGCTGCCTTCTCTTGAGGGCTGACCAGCCTGATGGAGACATTACCTTTGGACTAGGAAGCAAGCAAAGATAATGAATACTTTCGTAGGGTGTCATCATCCAGTGAAATAAAGGTAGCAGAAATCGATTGTAACTACAACAAGCAAATAATTGAACACATTTCACACATATTTTATAAATATGTAGTATTTGTCATCAAAGAGCACTTTCAGCATTATGTTTAGTTGGTTTCTCTGTCTTGGCATGGTCTTAATGTTCTAGACAATATTATCTTTGTTTTGGCATATCCCAAATTTATATTTAGCTCTATAATTTCTGTTTAATTCAGATGTAAAATAGTTCTTATCTTATCTGTTACAGATTGCCCAGTCACAGAACAGAATCTACCTGAACGCCAGCGGGCTGATGATGAACATCGGCGAGGAAGGTTTTGATGCCGCTGCAGATGCACTCGTTAACAAGAAGAGAAAATAAGTGTTTTAGTAATGTGACATACTGCAAGTGTTACACTGCTAGAACATGACGTACCTTGTTTCAGTCAGTGAAGGGTTTGATTTCTCTGTGTGTGATGTTCAGTAACAGTTGACCAGAATCTATATATTATCAAATTTGTGTAGTTCAGTGTAAGATTAGTGGAATGGCTGCAGTTGTTGATAAATGAATGTCTGTGGTTGATCAAGTGTATCCCTCTCATGTGGTTTCTGGTGATAATTTAGTACGCCCGTTTCATATTTTTCTAGTAATTTTTCCTTCCTTATTGTTATTTTCACTGCACTTCAGTGCCAGATTTCTCTTCTGTTCTCTAGCTTCATTACACATTTTCCCTCTCACTCTAGATTTGTTACACACACGATACAGGAGATTTGTGATGTTACCCTCATGATATATATATATCACACTTTCTTTTCTCCCCCTTCTCTATTTCTTTCATCTTTTTCTCTCTTCTCTTCCCACATCTCTTTCTGTTCAAATATTCAGTACAGTGTAGGAAATTCTAGATTAAACTCCCTGCAAGACACAAAAATATCTTGTGCTTGAGCATACTCAAGCAAAATTTCAACTGTTTTTAATAATCACGTTGAATCAACTATTATTTATCTGCTTGATCACACCTTTATTGCATTACATGTTTACTCTAATCACATTTTCAAGGTTGACATGTTTGTGTTTTCATTTACATCATCATATTACTCACGGTGTAGTTTCAGCAGTTAAGAGAACAATCAGCATCACCAGAAAATAGTTTGGTGGCTCTTTTTTTCAGTTTTGTACCAATATCTCACTTTAATTGGAACAAAAGTAAAATAAACAAAATTCATAAAGTCCCCCCACCCCCATTAAAGTTAGTTACAAAACAATTTTACACATTGTTTTTAGAGGTTTTCAGAGTTCCAGATTTAAAAAAATAAAATGTACTTAAAGAAGTTTCATTTCTCGCTAGGTCATATGAATGCTGTCTCCATATTTTTGGACACAAAAATATATCAGTACTGGTTTGTTGCATATTTGTTAAGAATGTAACCCTACGTTTCGTTATCTTTTATGTGTAACATTTTGAAATGTGCTGCAGTTTTTTTTTAAGCCATTGTTTCAAGTATGGACAAAAGTGGGACAGACAAAATTGGTATTACAGAAGGATGTTAATAAAAGATCTGTATAATCCAGTGTGCATTTTTTTCTTTTTATTCCATCTTCTTTTCTGGCCTTTATCCGCCTGTGAAGCCTTGACCTACTCTCACCAAGTCGTCCTATCTTTTGCTGTTGTATGTAGCTCACCCTATGTCCTCTGTATCATACTCATTTCTTGATGTGTTTTCTGGCCTGTTCTTGTTCCTTCTAATGTGTTGGTGATCATTGTAATCATTCAGTCTATTAGTAAGAGTTTGCAATGGAAGACATTGCATGAACTTTTTAATACTGGCATCTTCAACATCTGTTTTTGTACAATAAAGGTTTCCATTTAAATAGGTCTGCCCTTGTGTGTTTTGGTGCCATCTGAATAGTGTACCAGGAAAGAAAGGATAAACTTGTCAAGAAAGGGAGAATGTGAACATGATGGGCATTAAATAACATACTTTGAGAGTAACAGGACCATCAAGACTAGGAATTTTTCTTTATCTAAATTCACTCACAAAAGGGCTGATGGCAATGATACATTGTGGTTTGCAGCTAAGCTGTGATATCTGCATCGTCAGCCCAAAACTTTTGATTTCAGCACATTTTTAATTAGTCACTTTTATATCTGCCTTGTTAGGGGGCAGTTAATCCGTTTCCCCCCACCCCCTAGATGGGGCCCGGGGACCAACGAAGGGGAAGAAGAGAACAAGACTAGGTTAATGATGACTACCGATTATTTGATAGGCATGGACAGGTCATCAATGTACACCTCACAACAGAGCATAACACTTAACAAGCCTATGTTTGTTTATATATAGGATTTGTTTGAAGTTTGAACAACGGATCAACATCATAGCACATGGGTAGTAAACCATAAGTGCTCCTTATTTCTTCTAACTCAAGTCCGAAGAAGCTCAGCACAGGCTATGTAGCACCAGTGAGGATCCTGAAATACTAATTTAGATTATGAACTCTAAATTTTGTCCATGCCGCCGTTAGGCTACTTTTTTCTATTTCCAATTGCAAAGGGATTTTTTTGGTGTGCTCAGCAATGCACACGGGCGTCAAATCTAACTACCCAGAGACCATAGGAAATACTGTAAGTCCAAGTCCACGTAAAAAATCCTAACCCTCCCTGGGAATTGAATCTGGTATTTATGAGGAATCTTAAAGGTAACTAGATGAGACAGGATCAGAAATGGCGATATCAGGAAAGAAGTCAGGGCAGAACCAGTACTGAAATTGAACAAGAGACAACAGATCAAATGGTTTGGACATGTGTCAAGTCTACCGCCAGACAGTGCACCACAGAGAGCCCTGTCTTTTAGACACAGTGGAGTTAGAGCTAAAGGTTGATCACAGAGGGTGATTAGATAGATGAAATATCTGAGGCTGTAAAAACCATCTACATAGAACAGCCTGGTGCTGAAAGGCAGAACAGGACTAGAGAAGTTTAGACAGAAATATTATTCTAATGAGTCAACATCATACCTATTTTCCCGGTCCCATGTGCTTCGCCAGACTATTGTCTTGACTTCCACGAGATACGAAGATAAGTGGTATTTGTGTGTATAGTATATGAACAAAGAAGACACAAACAATAGATTGCACACTTTATTGCCGGGCATATTTTGCTGTATCTTGTCATGTGCATACTACAGTAACAATTATATAAATGAAGAAAATAAGTTAATCCTTTATAATTGAAGTACAATTTCAACAAAGTTTAAAACATAACAACGGAACTCTGTATACAGAAAGAGATGGTTTTGTCTTTAATGCTGCCCTGGTAAAAACAGGCTATCATGTTTTGATCGTTGTTGAAATTGTACTTCAGTTATAGAGGATTCACTTATTTGCTTTATTTAAGTGTGTAGTATTGTCTATGTATGTGCTGAAAAAGGCTCCATAGCCGCAATGTTCATGTTTGTTATATTGTGAAGCTCGCTGATATACTTTTTGTTCAGTTTTATATCTTTCCCCAACATCATTCTTAATGCTGCATGGAGTCAAAGAGGAACTCTAGAAATGGCTACTGTATCTTCTAAAACAAAACAGCGTGTCTCTTAACTCCTTGAGTCCCAAGGAATGCATCATAGGTTTATAGGTTCCTACCTAGAAGCCCAATGAACGCATGATGCGCCGATTTTATTACTTTCTTTACTACCCCCTGGGCCTGGGATGCTAAACCCCCCAGGACTCAAAGAGTTAATGTAAAAATCAGTATTTCACTCGTGAACAAGAATGAATTTGCAGCAAATTTTCTAAACTGTTGACTTCTTCTGCACACTGCTCAGAGCTTCGCTGAAAGCTTTCAGTGTTAGTTTGATGTTTTCTGCTTTACTGTTGTATCCCATGATTCCTATACGCCAGACTTTGTCCACCATGTCAGGAACACCTCCGGGTATATCTATTCTGTAGCTGTGGAAGCAAAAAACCCATGTTTTATAACTTTTATTGAAAAGTTTGTAGAATAGCTTGGACCAAGAAGAATAACAACTTCCCCGTGTGGGCTCTGGGGCCCTATTATAGAAAAAACAAGAATAGACCCACTGCCTACCCAAAAGCATATCATAAGAGTCAACCAATTTGGATCTTTCTACCAAGTCAGAGTGCATCTGCCTGAGAGGCAGGGAACCAGCAGTCTGCATACAAATGAGTCAGATCTGTAAAAAGGATGTACATGCAACACTCAGGTTCTGGAACAGGACTGCAGTCCAGAAGTGGATGAACAACCAGAACTTTCCGCCAGAGTTTACAGCTGGTAAATGCGAAGAAGAAGAAGAACAACTATGCTGGGCTGATATAAGATGTGAAAACAAGAAAATGGGTGCATTGTAATTTTTTTTTTTCAAAGTATCCAGAAACCATGAGTTGTTAACCCTTTGGCTTGGTACTGTGGATATCGCAACCCTTCGATCTTGATTGCATAATGGATACCGTAAATCTGGGAGGAATGTGGCTTTTCTGCCTACCCCAGACATGAACCCGGACCACAAGGAGTTCGTCACTACATAGCATTATACCTTATTAAGTTTCCTATGTGGGTTCAAAGGCCCCAGTTTTTGGCTGGGGGAGGGGGGTAGAGCCACTTTGATTAAATACAACTAACTAATGAATGTTTTTTGTTAAAGTGCATCTGTCTGAGATTTGAGGAACCAACAGTCTGCACACAAGTGAGACAAATTTGAAGGAAAAAAAAGTGAAACAAGACCAAAGTCCAGCAGTGGACGAACAACCTAAACTTTCCACAGTAGTTTACAGCCGGTAAATGCGAATGAGAACTAAAAAAAAAAATGTGAGAACACTACATACAAGTGTGTGTCACAAGTCTTAAAGAATAGAGCACAAAACAGGTGTTCTGTAGATCATTATCATGTAGCACAGATTTCCCAACCATTTTATGCCATGCCCCACCTAAGACTTTCTAAAATTACATGCTCCCTTATGTAACTTCAACTCTGGATGAATCCATTTTTAAAGCGCAAACTCCCCCCCCCCCCCCTTTTTTTTTTTTCTTCCAAACAATCAACTGCCACCTGTGGGCCTCTTATCCCAACACTGTACAGTTAACAAAGTGCTCTAGAATATAAACGGTTTGGTGATAAGTTGATTAAATGCTGTAAAATTGATTAAAGTTGGTGTGCAGCGATAGTAACCACCGTGGTGTTGTGTTTAAAGAGATACTCCGTACCTCACTTGGGCACCAGCTGACTATGTTGGTTTTACAGGTTCTCTAGTAAGACTCCTGCCATACGTGCACCACGGATAATGGCCTATATCAGCCTGAACTGAGCTGGCAGGGAATCTCGGAGTTAGTGGCCTCCAGAGATGCAGTGTCCAGTTATCTCCAGACTTTCCTCAGCCCACCCCTAATGGATGGGCGACAATTTCCATCGCAAAACTGATTTGGATGTTGAGTGAAACCAACTGGCCGAATATCTATGGCAAACCTTGGTTCAAATGTGTGTCTGCTGAAAGCCCTGAAATATTGCTTAAGATCAAATGTACGTCAATCTAGTGTCACATAATATAAAAGCAAGTTTCCATACAGGCAGCCAACGAATGTTGCTTACGGTGTAACAGACAAGGTTCTGTTGGCTGGCCGTCAATTGTCCTACTGTGTCAGAAATGTTCACCTACACTGGACTCACACGTCGGAATGTCAGGGCGTAAGGGGACTCCTTGCCCAATGCCATCTTTTCCTATACTGTCTGAGTGTCCTAATGTAACTGCGTCAAAGATGTCTAAAGTGCTGAGTAAGATTTTGCCCATTTGTGTGGTCATCGAAGAATGGAATACGCGGGCTGCTTCTTTTTGAACTCTAAATTACACAGCCCGTTATAAGCTGAAAACTCAATATACAGATGTGAGGTTAAGCAGTCATGTGCAGGACGTGATGATTCTTGGGTGAGCCCAGGACCAGAGCGTCAAGTCACAGCTCAGCATTTATGGAAGCTTCTTTGGATGGCCAGGAATATTCATGATCTGCTCCAATCTTCCCTTAAACACTGTGCTTCCGTGCTTGACAGTCCTGGACAGGTTCTCTAGAGGCAGCACCCGCATATAAAGGGATAAAGAAAAAAAACCCACACAAAAAAGGCTACGTTATGACACCAGCCGGGAAGGCTAGCCTGCTGAACAAATGCATGATAAATTAGGATGTGTCCACCAAAAGGCGCAGATAATCCAGCTATGCTGTAAACGAATAGAACACAAATTACATTAACTTGGAGAAACGACGAAGAAGAAGATTACAGTTGATGAGTGCTTTAAAATTGTTTAATGTAGAATTGATGAAAAGCTATAGACATGGTTAGAGTTGGATGGGTGATTTACAGTTGTTTAGTATAGAGTTTATCGACATATATAAAATTATTTAATATAGAATTGCTTAAATGCTGTGCTATTTTTTTAAATAGTAGAATTGACTTGGTACTGTAAATTTATTTAATGTAGAGTTGATTGAATGTAAAACAGTGTTTTATCATAGAGCTGGTATACCAAAGTAAATGTAAACAACAGAAATACTAGCAATGCTTATGAAATGAACAACGGACGTTTACACGTAATCAGCACAATGGTAGACTTACTGCCTCATCGCGTAATCACTAACGTCTTTTCTGCTGACGCCATCTGGAACTATGACTGTTGTTACACATGGGTTCCTCACTTTCTGATTGAGAGGGGAGAAAGTAGTTTACTGGCTGGGGTATTATCTTCATTGTCGACTTCTTCTTCTTCTCCTCCTCATCTTCTTATCCTCCTCGTATTCTTCTTCTTCTTCTTCTTCTTCTTCTTCTTCTTCTCTTCTTCTTTTCTTCTTCTTCTTCTTCTTCTTCTTCTTCTTCTTCTTCTTCTTCTTCTTCTTCTTCTTCTTCTTCTTAGCATTCACCTGCTATAAACTTCAACTTAAAATTATAGTTGTTTGTTCACCTTTGAACTTTAATCATGTTCCAGAGCTTGAGTTTTGGGAACACATCTACAACATAAACAAACTCAACAGGAAAGAACAGACACCAATTTTTAGGCTTCGGACAGGACACTGTGGTTTTAGAGCACATCTGCACTGGATAGGCATAAAAGAATCTGCTGCCTGTGATTGTGAAGCAGTGAGACGGACCGCCGAGCGCACCTGCAGGATTGCCTTAACTACTCTCAGCAAAGATTGTGGATCTGGCCCAAGGGAGCTACAATACAAGAGAAGCTGTGGGGGACCGGCGGTGACCTTAGACGAACAACCCTTTTGTGCCCAGACGGGACTGAATGTTTAGCATGGCTGATGTTGAACGCAGACATCTTATTCAAAGCATATTTATTCCAACTCTGTGCTACCAGTGCCAGACATGGTCACTCACAACAAACCATTAAAAAAAAAATTAGTAACCATGGAAATGAGATGTCTGAGAAGGGCTGTAGGAGTGACCATAAGAGATAAGATCAGGAATGAGATCATAAGAGAAAAAGTCGGCACAGAACCAATTCTGGATTACATACAAAGACAGCAAGTGAAATGGTTTGCCCACTTAGAGAGAATGCCTTGTGACACCATACCATACAAAGCATACATGGAAAGAGAAGAAGGTCGCAGAGCAAGAGGTAGACCAAGAACAAGATGGAAGGATAACATCAGAGAAGCTCTACAACAGCACGATGTGCCTATGGCCGAGGCGGCCAGAAGAGCTAGAAACAGAACCTTATATCTCCCTCGACACCCAGAGCGGTAAAAGAGGAAGTGAAGAAGAAGAAGAAGAAGAAGATGTTGAATGCAAAAGAAGAAGAAGGGAGCTCAACTATTGAACAGTTCTGTCCTATTTGTATGCAGACTATCAGTTATTTCGTCAAGTTCTCCCTTTGCCATCTAGTTGTACACATATGTAACTCGGAGATCAGGGTGTCTGATTTTAACATGGATTTGTGTAAACTTGACTTGGACAGATTCCATCGAAGGGTCTATCTACACGTGAGATAGCTTTCTGTCCTACAGTACAGTAAAACCCGGTTAACACAAACTCGCTTAAGATGAACACTCAGTTAATATGAACACCATTTTGAACCAAGCATGGATGTACAAAGACAACAAATCAAATTGTCCAATTTAGCCCAATTTACAGTCTTGTGATATCCTACCTTATTAGACATACAGCAAAAGAGAAAGACGCCACCAAAAGGTAGACCAAGAACACGATGGAAAGATAACACCATCAAAGCTCTACAAGAACGCGATGTGTCTATGGTTGAGGCGCCAGAAGAGCAACAAGTAGAAGGCAAATCTCTCTCGACACCACAAGCAGTAGAGGAGGAAGTGTAGAAGAAGTTAATGTATTATTCCAATGAAATGTGACAATCCACGGCTTTAACTCTTTATTTTAGAATTAGTTTTAATGCAGTTTTACTGTACTGCCGGAGCATCATCTAACTTATAACTCACTATTGCAATTTGAAACGTGTGGTTTTCCCCCACACACGTGCAACCTGTTCATGGGAACCCTTTGTTTTTGCCATGATCTGAGAAGACAAGGTGTTCCCTGTCATTGATCAGGAGCCGCGCAATATTAAAAACACACTAGGCCTTTAAACGAATTCGAAATCGATGCTTCTGATTTGGAAGAGGACATACTGGCTGTACCGATCTTTAGGACAAACTCACGACACCTTTCTTTCGTGACTTTGCATTTTTTATTGTCCCAACCGCCCTGCAATCTAATGGCTTGCCACCCAGTATCCATGTGTGGGTTCTGGAGGGTCGACCCGCCTCAATTGAAAAAAAAAAAAAACAGGAAACTTTTCCACGCTTTCAGGCGTACCGGGCATATCTGGTTAGTTGCGTATCCTTTACAGGACGTTTCAGAACCAACCACAACAGCCCCTGGCTGTTGTATGGTTTTTCTAAGCAAATTTACGTCCAGTAGTTTGCCATTGCTTCTGGACGGTCGGCTTTCTTGATACCACTGTCGAAACCAACGCAAAGCGCATGGCCCGGCATTCCGGCATTACGAAGCGTTCGCATCGGTTTAGCCACAGAGCCGACGGGCTTATATGGCTAGACCTATATTTTGTAGACCAATCGGCATTTGATGGGTGTTGTGGTTAGCATCATGTCAACCACCTTTACATCATGTCAACCACCTTTACTTCTGATGAATTTACGTGCTACCCATTTAAGGCTGGAAGTCATGTCATTTAAAAAAAAACTAAAAGGATGGCTCCGTCCGGACCCAAACCCACTACCTTTCGATCTGCAGACGAGCCTCTAGCCGCTACATCACGGCGGCACTCCTAGCCTAAACTGGCCGTCGTGTAATATCCTGGGAAGAAACACATCACCGTCAAGTACTGATTAGTCATACACACGAACACACACACACCCGTCTGTCACTATATGCCTGATCCGCCAATGGCGGGGAAAATTGTCTTTTACTTAGTTTTGTATGAGTGTGTGTGTATGTTTTCATTTAATGCAGGCAGCAAAGACGTTTAATAAGATTTAAAAAAAAAAAAAAAAAGGCCAGAACAAAGGGAGACAAAACAAACTCCAGGATGGAGGACGAGCGGTCTGAATCGGATGAAAGCATCAAGCCCAGAAATAGCTCAAAACACTCGAATTTAGTCACGAAAGTGACCACAAATATAGGCGGAAACCGTTGGCAGTCTCGGCTAGCTAGCAGCAGTCTGAAAGTGGTCAACCTTTTAATTACTAAAAATTCCAGGCCAAGATGTTCTAATCCTTGATGCAGAAGCTGTGCACAGTCTCTGTGAGATTTCCAAACCTTCTCCAATCCCTGGAAAACGAATTCAAATAAACATTCAGTGGTGTTTACATACACAGGATGTGTTTGTACCGAAAGGCGCATATTTGCTTTAACCAGAACACAAAGTGCTTTTAGGGACTAAAACAGAAGACAAGAATGTTCAAATAAAGGTAAGAAGAGAAATACATCAGTAGATAGCACGTTTGCTCACCGGTCTGGTAATTATGTGCTCAAATCCTCACAGATCCAGCGATTTGTTTTTAAAAAAAAAATGCCTTGACTATGAGGTTGTCCTTACGATTATGGGGAGAACAAAAGAATAGACACACTGCACCCCAACATCCATGTCGTAAAAGTCGACTGATTAGGGGTGTTTTCTTTGATTTGGAGCGCCCCTGTCTGAGAGGCAAGAAACCAACAGTCTACATACAAATACAGTAGAACCTCGCTTAACGTGCACCTCTCATAACGAGTAATTCGCATAACGAGCAAAACAAATTGTAAAAGAATGGCTTGCTTAATGAGCGACGTTTCGCATAACGAGTGGCGAAGAGAGGGGAAGTTGCATTGTGTTTCACAGCAAGAAATTTTGGAGAAAAGTTTGTCAGAGGAGGAGGAGGAGGTAACGGAAAAGCAACAATCTTTTGGCGAAATAAGAGAAATGCTGAAAGCATGGCAAACTGTTGCATCTTACATTGAGAAAAATCACCCTTATAAGGAAATGACTATGCGCGTTGCAAATTTATTTAATGATAATGCTGTGTCGCATTTTCGCCAAATTTTGAAGCGTCGGCAAAACAAATGTCACTTAGACATCTTTCTAGTTAAAAAAATAAAATAAATATTTAGCTTTGTATCATAATTATTTCGAGACCCCCCCCCCCCCCCCCCCCCCCCCCCCCCGTCATGGAACGCATTATCGTATTTTGCATTAATTTATATGAGAGAAAAACTGTTTCGCATAACGAGTGTTTCGCTTAACGAGTATGATTCTGGAACGAATTGTACTCGTTAAGCGAGGTTCTACTGTAAGCCAGTTCTGTAAAATCGTCGTGAACGCAAAACTCATGTTCAGGAACAAGACTAAAGGGAACGTTAACCAAAATTTTCTACCGGAGTTCACAGCCGGTGAACGCGATGGAGAAGAAGAAGACGCTGAAGAAGGAGGAGGAGGAGACGCAGAAGAAGAGGAAGAAGAAGAAGAACGATACGGGAAGTCAAGTCATCCGACATAATACAGACCTCAGTGTTGTCAATGTCACTTTTGCTTGGCATATATAGAGCAAGTGTCACATTTGACTATATCATCAATATTTAGAAAAATATCATAGGAAGTACAGGTGGCCATGTAATATTGATCACATTATAGATCAAATGCCCAGTGGTCAATTAAAGTATAGACCTAGCACCACATGCCTGATGCACCAATGCCGTGTGCAGGATCCTTTGTTTTTACTTTACTTATCCTTGTAGGTTCGGGGACTTATTTTGGAGAACAAAGAACAGACCCACTGACTTCTAACAAGCATGTCGTAGGTGGCTACTACTTAGGGTGTCTCCTTCAAAGTTAAGAGTGCATCTTCCCCATGTAGGCATTGGATCCCAGTGTGTGGAAAACAAGCAAAAAATAGATCTACTGTCCTCGCAACAAGTATGTTGTAAGACTCGACTAATTAGGGGTTTCCTTCCAAGCCGGAATGCATCTATATGCCTGAGAGGCAAGGAACCGCCAGTCTGCACACAAGTAAACCAGATCTGTAAAAGCGATGTGCACGCAGCACTTAAGTTATGGAACAAGTTCCGGAAGTGGACTAACAACCAGAACGCCTCCCCCTTCTGGGGATTAAAACCAGTTAATGCGAAGAAGAAGAGAAGAATGCATCCGCATGAGCGAAGAAGAAGAGAAGAATGCATCCGCATGAGCGAAGAAGAAGAGAAGAATGCATCCGCATGAGCGAAGAAGAAGACAATGCCCACGTTGCGGTCACCTGTGTCCGTCAAGAGTTTTGATTTTTAAGTCAAAATATTCTCTGTGAAGAAATCGGACACCCTTGGGAGTGGGGAAGGGAAAAGGGGGGGGGGGGGGGAGATCCACTGCCGCCAAACAAACATATAGACAACAACCGATAAGAAATTTGTTGTATATGGACAGAGAAGGCGTAGATATCGTAGCTTAGCTGTAAACCACACCATAACGAAAAAGAAGCTATTCCCTAGTGAGCTATCAGCTATGTTTTGGTCTCTTGTTTGGAGTTCTTCTGCTGTCGATATCTTTATGATTCTGATATTGCTGTAATGTCGTAATCTCCTGGACATATGAAAAATACAATCCCCTCATAAGATATTATACACAGCACATCCATACCTGATATACAATGTTCATAAATAATATTACCTCTTCAGCAAAAATAGCTAGGGACTCCCTCAACATATATACATTCGTTACCATTTCTGTATGATGAAAGCTGAAAAACCAATAACTAATATTTATTAACGTTAAGTAAAAATGTTTAATCTGTACAATATACGAGCGGACTTGAAATGAAAACCGTGAGAATATGGTATACATTACAACAGCCATGCCATTGTCTTCTAACCTATCAATATTATTATTAGGGATTTCAAGAGTGTTAAGCACGTGACATCACGGTGCAGACCAGCATGGTGACGCCATAATGACAATTTAGAAATGGCCGCCCCACAGAGGCCCTGACCAAGACCGGCTTCAGCTGACTGGTAATGCCGCTGACGTCACCAAACCGGGCTAAAGATACGTTAACGTAGCGATTCTCAAACTGACCTCGTTGTAAACAAACAATATGTCACACAATTTATGCAGTTTTGAAACGTTCTTCCAAATCAGATACTTGGTAGACTGACAGGCAGGTTTCACTTACGGGACCTTTTTTGGCCTATGCATTTCTATAAGTCTCACGCCTTTATTGAAAAAAAGATTAATAATAATAATAGTAACAGCTGCTCCTCTTTGGTGCATGGCAAAAGTGGAGCGGACATCTTTAAACTGTCATTACAATGTCACTTTGTTTGTCTGGCCATAATGTCACGTGCTTAACATTCTTGACGTCATTAACAACAATGTTAACAGGTTACGAGACAACGGCATAGTTACTGTAATTTCTGTCACACTTTACGGTTTTTAATTTCAAGCCCCTGTCCCACAATTAAAAAAAAATTGTGTCAATGACAGTTGTGTTTCTTAATTGATAAATCTGAATATTTTCTCTCCAACCCCCCCCCCCCCCCCCCAACCTCTCTAGCAACATTTGGCGAATACGACTCTCCATTCTTTGCCATTTAATAGTTTAGTGACATGTAAATACCGTAAATCTGGGAGAAATGTGGCTTTTCCGCCTACCCACGGGATTGAACCCGGACCACAAGGAGTTCGTCACCCGGTCACCGCGCAATCCGGTTTAGCCAACTACGCTAGAGAGCCGGGCTCATTATAAAGTGATCAAGTGAACTGTGACTGAAAAGCTTAGCAAAAAGGGGAAGCAGAACAACGTACACAAAACGCACAAATCGACGTTGCGGTCGGGTCTTTCTCAAAATGAACTTACTTCCTTTTAAAATTACGTTGCATAACCAACCCCCAGCTTTTATGATAATTTTTATTTTTTATTTTTTGCTGTTGTGGTTTTTCTTGGCAAATTTACCTTTAAGGAGTTTGCCATTGTCTCTGAATAATATAAATTTTTATTCAGTTTTTTTATTATGAAGTTCGGCCCAAATAGTGCGTAATTGGGCTTTGATTCATGATTTCTCACCGGTGACACAGGCTAGTCTATGTTACAGGGATGTCACGTCGTCTAGTCTCCGATGCATCAGCGGCGATGTCGCGTGTTACATACACTAAACGACGACACTGCTTTTAACGATACCAGAACATATAGAACTGACCCTAACCCCAACGCTCTATAGCCTCAGACTAAGTTCACGAGAGAGTCCAGACTACGTCCTATATTTTCAGAATTGTTAACATTTTCCGCTGCGCTCTAAAAACCCGTCTTGCTGCAGAAAAGCAATACTCTCCTCCTTGTTGCTCCTCAACGCTAATAGCTGACCTAAATTCATGTCGTATCTGAATTCTGTAATACATGCAATGTCGTCGCCGGCTCGCAACAATGTGTAAAACACACTGCGTAGCCCGCCGCCTATATATACACAACATACAAAGCTCCTTGCGAACACAAGAACAACAAAGACTAGCCCGTGTCATAGGTGAGAAAGCATAAATGAGAGCCCAATTACGCTCTATCTGGGCCGAAATTTATAACAGGTTCCTTTATTTCAGCTTGCTCTCATGTATTACACGCGTGCATACTTGGAAAAACAAAACTGGCGAGGAGACAACCAGGTAGCGTGTCAGAGAAAGACATAGAATTGCTGAATGAACCAACCAACTTACCCACGTGATCTCCCATCGCAACCCCAGTGGTCAGCTATGGCAGGAGCATTAAAATAATACGATCGTATTGGTTTTTTTCTGCTGGCGATTTTATCCCTGGAAAAAACAATACATATAGACGGACACAATAATATGATAAAGAAAAAAAATTTAATTAAAACTAAGGTAAGAGAAGCTGTTGACTGATCAGCATTGGTTAGCATCCTTGCCTTTTAGCCTAGTATACAAGTGGTGACATCCCAGTCAGGGCAGTTATTTGTTTTAATTTAGAACTCAAATGTCTGTTATGCCTAAAACGTGTGTACTAGAAGCAAAGCCAAAGGGGGATGTTGTACTAGAGGAGAGGGGGGCACACTGTCAGGTTAGCCAGACCGTCCATCCCCACGCAGTTGCCCAAACACATGCTGCTTAGCCCATATTCCGCATCACATTTTTTTAAACGTCGCTCACGTCACCCCTTAGAGATCTACCTGCATACTCTCTATTCCTCATTTGTGTAGTTCACTTATGTTTGAAAAAAGGCTGCCCGGCCGAAACGTTACTTTGTATTGTTTTGTGCACGTTTTTCTCTTTCCCATTTTGTTGAGCTTTTTAGTCTAATTTCTCTAGAATTTTTTTGCTTAGCCCATGCACGGAGCTGCAGTCACTGAGTGGGCTCTCCTGCCCCTGAGCGACTGCGGGGTCAGAAGCCGGAAAGCCAAATAGCCCGTTTTCCGACTGACTGACCTTCAAGACGCTACACATGCATATTCGTTAAATATTTCTTTTTAAAAACAACAGTTCAAATTCCCGACAACAACAGACAGTCGAACAGACAGACAGACAGACATAGATAGATAGATAGATAGATAGATAGATAGATAGATAGATAGATAGATAGATAGATAGATAGATAGATAGATAGATAGATAGATAGATAGATAGATAGATAGATAGATAGATAGATAGATAGATAGATAGATAGATAGATAGATAGATAGATAGATAGATAGATAGATAGATAGATAGATAGATAGATAGATAGATAGATAGATAGATAGATAGATAGATAGATAGATAGATAGATAGATAGATAGATAGATAGATAGATAGATAGATAGATAGATAGATAGATAGATAGATAGATAGATAGATAGATAGATAGATAGATAGATAGATAGATAGATAGATAGATAGACATGTACTGATCGGCGCTCAAAGAAAGAAGTAGAGCGACTGAATAACACATTAGGCAATTTGAAAATCAAAAGTTATTCGAACCTGTTGCCCTCAAGTGACAAAAACGCACCTCTGCAAAAACAAGTGTACTTCTTCTTCTTCTTTGCGTTCACCAGCTGTACACTCTGGCGGAAAGTTCTGGTTGCTCGTCCATTACTGAACTGCAGTCCTGCTCCAGAACCTGAGTGTTGCGTGTGTACTAAGACGCATAACAAACTTGTAAAAAAGTTAGTTGTGTATCCTTTACAAGACGTTGCAGAACTAACCCTGGCATATTGTTTGGCTATTTGTGGTTTCACTATGTTCAGTAGTTTTCAATTGCTACTGTACGATCGGCTCGCGACACCAGTGTTAAAACAACTCAAGGCGATCTGATGCCAAATCACCCGCAGCGGTGTGTACAGTTACTGTCATAAGTTAGCGTGGTTGTGTGTACAGCTTCGATGGTCAAGGAAATACAAAGAATGAAATAATGACATGCACTGACAAGATATCAGTACCTTTTAAAATCTTGAACAAAACGTGGAACTCTTAACGGTAACGTTTTGAAATCATCTTATGTGTTTTCAATTCTAATGTAATTTTTTTAAAACATATCCCAGTGAAAGTTGCAGAACCACTAAGAAATGGAACAAACTGTAAATGCATTTGAAAACAGTATCCAGGCAACCACTACTAACAACAGTTATAAAACAAAGAAGATATCGCTATATTTGACACATGCTGAGAAGAAACGAGCACAGAATCACCAGACATGTACTACAATTGGGGAACAAGAGAGAGAGAGAGAGAGAGAGAGAGAGAGAGAGAGAGAGAGAGAGAGAGAGAGAGAGAGAGAGAGAGAGAGAGAGAGAGAGAGAGAGAGAGAGAGAGAGAGAGAGAGAGAGAGAGAGAGAGAGAGAGAGAGAGAGAGAGAGAGAGAGAGAGGGTTGAGGAAGCGAGACACACAAAGGAAAATGAACATGACAATTTATGTCCTAAATGACATCGAATGGCACAAAAGGACAATGATGGTGATGATGATTGTACAGCTACCGTCAACAATAAACGTGACTGTGTACAGTTAAAAACAAACCTGGCTCTCTGGGAGAACGTGATTGGACTTAGAGAAGGAGGTGCACTCATGCATTTCTGTGTCGCGCCGTAGATAACATCGATATCTGAAATATTATGGTGGAATATATTTATAAACAACTAATTAATTATTTTAGAGTATCGCCCTGTGTGGGTTCCGGGACCCTATTATAGGAAAAACAAGAATAGACCCACTCCCTACCCAAACGCAAGTCGTAAGTATCGACTAATTGGGAGCTTCCTTCGAAGTCGGAGTGAATCTGCCTGAGAGGAAAGGAACCAACAGTCTGCATACAACAGATCTGCGTCAGATCTATTAAACAAATCCACACGCAACACTCAGGTTCTGGAACAGGACTGCAGTCCCGAAGTGGACGAACAACCAGAACTTTCCGCGCCGGAGTTTACAGCTGGTGAAAACGAAGAAGAAGATTCGAGAGCATCATGAAAAGATATCAAATGAAACGAAGAGTGGAACCGGTCAGCTTCACAATATCACAAACACAAACTGCAAGTGAATGTTGCGATTAGACAGCCTTAATCAACAAATTACATAATGAAAGGAGAACTCCACAGCTGGAGTCTACAGACCTCCAGCAGGTGTCTTCTTTTCAACAGTTGTATAATCCCGATTATTCCATAGACCAGTGTTTCCCAAACCGTTCTTGGTAACCGGTGCCTTTTTTCAATAAAAATTTTTCCACGGCGCCCTAACCTAAGTAAATGTATGACCATTCGTGTCTTGATTAAATTAATTATGAAGCTTTTACAATATTTCGCGGCGCCCCTGTGAAGAGGTCGCGGCTCCCCGGGGCGCACAGTTTGGGAAACACTGCCCTAGACAATCTTGGGCCTGGTCCCATAGCCAGCCTTTGATCAAGACTCCTAGCCCTAGGACTTCTTCTATCTGACAGTTGGACAAGACGTTCTGGTGATTTGCAACAGGTACAGAGGTTTGGTAATATATATCGTCGCTGCGGTAGCAAACTTCGCGCCTACCTTCACGACCAGAGTGATAAATGGACGGATGGTTCGTCGGACAGACGTTTATTGAACATACCTAGGCGGTTGGCAGTAGCTCTTTCAGACGTTGCTCGGTCACAACATTGCATGAATCTACACTACCACAAATCATCATCATCATCAGGTGCCTTGCCGACTGGCATGGGCGACCATGCCTCTCTACATTCTGCGATCTCCTGCAGCATGTATTAGTTCGCGTGCCGACACACCTCCACGCCAGGCAACAAGACTGTC